TCAACTTGCAATGCTTCTTGGGGCTTCCTAGCCTTCATAGAGGATACATAGCACTCTCTGACTGTTATTTGGTCCCCTTTGACCTCTTCGACTCCATTTGAGGTTGGAAAACGGAGAACGAGATGGTAGGTAGATGGCACAACTCTTAATGTGTTAAGAGCTGGCCGCCCTAATATGATGTTGTAGGCTGACGGGCACTCTATTACCAGGAAATTGACCATGACTGTGGAGCTTTGGGGTGTAACTCCGGCGGTGACGGGAAGTGTGATGGATCCAAGGGGATACACTTTTCCCCCTGAGAATCCAATGAGGGGTGACCTGATTGGCTGTAGCCTCTCCCTGCCCAGGTTGAGCTTGTCATAGGCCTCTGCAAACAGGATATCCGCAGAGCTGCCACAATCCACCAGGATCCTGTGCACATGAAAATTGGCCACCGTCATGGTGAGCACCAAGGGGTCGTCATGGGGGTGCTAGATTTCCTCCAGGTCCTTTTCTGAAAAAGATATGACCTCGTCGCCTTCCTGCTTCGGTACCTTAGATGGGCGCATCTCGTAGACATGTCTTGTCTTCCTGGCATGGGCCTTCATTGCAGAAAGTGATTCTCCCCCACCTGCTAGTCCCCCTGAGATGGTGTGGATTTCCCCCACTGGCTGCTGATCTTCCTGGTTGTGAGGTTGTGGTGCTCGTTCCAGCAACGTACTAGCGTAAGTGACCACGCTGGATGAGCCCCTCAATTTGCCTCTTGAGGTCGTAGCAATCGTCGGTGTCATGCCCGTGGTCACGATGGAAGCGGTAATACTTGTTAGAATTTCTGCGATTTGGAGGAGACTTCATTTTTCCAGGCCACTTTATCGCGGGGTCATCCTGGATCTGGAATAGGATGTGTTCTACGGAAGCATTGAGGGGAGTGAAGGGTTGACGGTTCCTCTGAGGAGTAGGACCTAGCCGGTTCTTGATAGGGACTTTCTCTGTCCTGCCATGTTTGTTACTGGTCCCCTTCTTATCGTCCCTCTCCCTTTCCTTCCTTTTTTCCCCTGTTCTGGAAGACTCACCCCGTCTGGCCCTTGTGATGTCTTCTGCGTTTATGTACTTTTGGGCCTTGGCTAGCAGCTCTGGCATGCTCTTCGGTGGGCGCTTCAGAACTGAGAAAAGGAAGCTTGATGAACGGAGGCCACCCAAGAAGGCGGTCATCGTCACCTTGTCGTCGAGTTCATCAACTTGGAGTACCTCCTCGTTAAAACGAGTGAGGTAACTCCTTAGGCTCTCCTCGCGGTCTTGCTTTATACTAAGCATGTGCGTAACTGGCTTCTGGTGGCGACGCCCTCCAATGAAGTGTGAGACAAATGATCTGCTAAGCTCGACGAAAGAGGCAATAGAGGCGGGGGAGAGCTTAGCAAACCACTGTCAGGCAGACCCCTTTAACATGGTTGGGAATGCCCTGCACATGATTTCGTTTGGTACATTGTGCAATTGCATCAAGGTCTTGTAAGTGTCGAGGTGGTCCAGTGGATCCTTTGTTCCATTAAAGGTCTCCACAGATGGTATTTTGAACTTCTAAGGGAGGGGGGTAGTTTGCTACATCAGGTTAGAAAGGCGTATCAGTATGCCTTACTAGGTGGTCAACAGTCTCGGGTCCCTGTGCCTTCATGGCGTTGAAGACATCACCGAGTTGATTCTGTACCTCCTTTATCTTCTCGTCCCAATGATTAGGGGCTCCTCTGGAATGATCATGGAAGTGGCTTCCATTCTCCATGCTTTGGTTTTCACTCTCATCCTCTTGGAGATAAGGGTCCTTTTCCTAGGAAGCAAGGGGAGGGGGAGGTGGAGCTCCCTCATGTTGGGCTTCCCGAAGTGGGGTGCCCAATGGGGCACCCGGGCGTGGAGCAACAGGGCGTGGTGCTCCTTGATGTCCAAGACGTGGAGCTCCTTGGGGTGCTCTATGTTGTGCACCTTCGTGGGGCCCTCCATGTTGTGCACCTCCGTGTGGTGCTCCACCTTGGGGTTCTCCATGCTGTGCACTTCCATGTGGTGCTCCTCCTTGTCCAGCAAGTAAGAGTTGCAATAACTGTTGGTTTTGAGCAACCAGTTACTGCATGGTCTTCAATATTTGCTGGGGATTCGGGGCTAGAGTATCCGGAACAGGGTTGATAGGCGGGGGAGTAACCTCCTCCTCTCGTGGAGGATTGTCTTCATGTTGGTTCATGGATCGAGTAGTGATCGTCATTAGTTAATGGATGTAATGTTCAGGAGTGAGAATTTTGTCGATTCCCACAGACGGCGCCAAACTGATGATGCACAAAAATGATTTTGCACACCACCTGTTAAGTGTAGGTAATAAATGCAGTGAAATCAATGAGAAAATTAAAGAAGACACGATTTATAGTGGTTCGGTCAATTCGACCTACATCCACTCTTCAATGGCTTCAGTTGCTGGGTATTTTATTAATTTAAAGGTATGAAGAATAGAGATACAAGCTTTGAGAGAATGGAGAATCAAAGAAGCAGTGGTCTCCGGTCGTCGGTCTGTCCTCTGTAAGTGTTGGTGGGGCGTGCCATTTATAGTAGTCTCCTAACAGATTGAGGCTACTTTATAGCAGCTAAGAGATCATTTTTGTGGAGATCATGACTTATCCTCAAGGCTACTTTATCGCAGCTAAGTGATCATTCTGGTGGAGATCATGACTTATCCTCAAGGCTACTTTATTGCACTAAAAGATCATTCTGGTGGAGATCACGACTTATCCTCAACGGAAGGAGGAGGTTGGGGAGCTCTTCATGAAATGCGGTCAAAGATTGGACCGTTTCCTTTGGTGGTGCAGATAAGCTTCCCATGCTCTCCTCTTGATGACGCGCTAAGCGAAAAGTCTAACCGGTCTTGGATTGTCTTGGGCTTGATGGATTCAAAATGAGATTGAGCTTCTCAACTGGGGTTGGACTTTAACACATAAATTGGACTATTTGGGCTTAACCCATCAAAATATATAATGCAGAGTAATTAATGAAGCAATCAACGATAAAAGACGGAGATTGAGACAACACATAGATATATAGTGGTTTGGTCAACGTGACCTACTCCACTTTAAAGGCGACGACAGTAGCCAAAAAATTTTATTAATAAAGTAAATGGTTGGAGAAAGAGCAAGAGTGAACATTAGGAGAGTTTGGGTAGTTATGAGAGAGATAATTTGTGTAAAGGATTTATAGAGAGATGTCTCTCTCATGTGCAGAGAGCTTATAATTTATAGGTACTGAACTTTAGTTGAGACGGTGGCGTGAAAAGTAGGTTACTAGATTTTCGAGGAAGATAGTTGCAAATAGGATATGTATAATTAGAGATAATCTTGATCTAAGAGAGTAACTATCCCAGTAATTACTCTCCACGGGCGCTAATCTTCCTGGTTCCCTTAAACTTTGGATTAGACTGTATCTATGAACTGGATTTGACTTGTTTTTTAGCTAATTTAAAATTATTTCATTAATTGGGTTTGACCCAATTAGACCTGGACTCGTCAATATTTTTACTCGAAAATGAAATAGCTAATTAGGAGTGAATATCATTTTTCGAAATCTAACCCAATAACAAAAATTTTTCTCTCCAAAACTCTCAAGAAATGTTACATTTAACTTTATCCCCCTTTCACATTAGAACTTGTAGACTATAAAGGACATGGTGTGTACACAATTCCGAACCTTTGGTCAAAAACAAGAAAACTTTTTGTGATGCCATGATGGTTGCTACGAACCTTTCAATCACTGTTGGGCCCATGTGGCACCCACCAATATTGCCCATTACACTTTAAAAAAAAAAAAAAAGAATGGCTGTGACACTTTGTGTTATTATATTGCGTTTGTCAAAGTAATACCAATGTTTTCAAACAATTAGATGGAATTTAGGTGAAACATTATAACGGTCCCTTAAAATAATACCAAGAAACCTACTGCATTATAAAGAAATCAGTCGACCCGAAGATGAGATTGACTGGCCTGATTTACAAGGAGTCAGATCAGTCAAGACTTAAACTAACTCGGTCATTATCAAACGTGTTAGGTTTATTTGCAATATCTCATTTCACAGTCGAGGGAATGACAGAAGAAGAATTAAATCATTAGATTTTATCTAAGAAATAAAAAATCTATCTCTATAGAGTGTTACGTCGTCAACTTTAAGAATGTCACGGCGTTCTTAAAAAAAATAACTTCTAACTAATTATCAAAATTTTATTTTGGTATATTATTTCGATCACATAGAAAATAAAAACGTTTTAACGTGTTTCGCAAACAGAGTGAAAAATTATTTTTTAAAAAATATTAATCGAAATATATCGAAATATCTTAAAATAATTAAAATATTCTGAAATAATTGTGCAAATATATTGAAAATATTACAAAATACCTCGAAACACTATAAAACACATTGAAATATTATTATTTCGATTCTATCACTGATTCATTTCAATTTTCTTAAAAACTTGAAACGCATATATTTTTCATTATGCGGATTAATATGAGAATAAATTTTACTGTTTATATTTCACAGGTTACATGAAACAAATGATATTTTGTATTTCCGAAAGTTTTTTTTTTAATTTTTAATTTATACTCTGAAGATTAAAACTTCTATATTGCACCATCAATCAAAAAAAAAATGTAGAAATGTGTTCTATTTAAAGAAAATTAGGTATCAAATTTCTGTTAAAAATACTTAAATTTTATTATTATGAAAAATAATTATGTATAAAAATATTATAAATTGACAAATACTGACTTTACTGACATTTTATCTGTTTAAGTGTATAATATAAAATTTCTAATTTTTTAAAAATATTTTAAAAAATTAAAATCTTTTAAAATACACAGCGATAATGCTTTCACCACCTCTCTCTCTCTCTCTCTCTCACACACACACACACACACACACAAACACACACAGATGAGTATTCCATTACAGCCAATCGAAATCTCCCCAGAACACATTCGAAGGTGAAACCAAAACCCAAAAAATGGAAAAATCTGGGTATGGCCGAGATGGAATATACAGATCTCTCCGGCCACCGTTGATCGTCCCCAGAGATCCCAATCTCTCCATGGTCTCATTCCTCTTCAGAAACATCTCTTCGTATCCCGACAAACCGGCCCTCGTTGACTCTCACTCCGGCGAAACCTTAACATTCACCCAGTTCAAATCTATGGTGTCCATGGTCTCACAAGGCTTACTACAACTGGGTATACAGAAGAACGATGTAGTTCTCATTATCTGCACGAATTCAATCCAATACCCACTCTGTTTCTTTGGGATCGTCGCTATTGGCGCCATCGCAACCACTGTAAATCCTATTTACACTGTCTCTGAGATTTCTAAACAGGTTAAAGATTGTAAACCCAAGCTTATTATTACTGATATTGGACTGTATGAAAAAGTTACAGGATTTGATTTACCAACAGTAATTTTGGGTTCAGACAAAACAGTTGAAAATCTGAATTCATCTTCACGAATTACCCTGTTTAATGACTTAGTAAACAATCCCGGAATGCCAATTTCACTGAAGAATTCTGTTAAGCAAACGGATACGGCTGCGTTATTGTACTCATCAGGTACCACTGGAACTAGTAAGGGGGTGGTGCTTACCCATCGGAATTTTATTGCGGCTGCGTTAATGCTGACGGCCGATCAAGAATTGGCCGGTGAAATGCACAATGTGTTTCTGTGTGTGCTTCCAATGTTTCATGTGTTTGGACTCGCTGTTATTATGTATGCGCAGCTGCAGAGAGGCAATGCGATTGTGTCAATGGGGAGGTTTGATCTTGAGTTGCTTTTGAGGATGGTTGAGAAGTATAGAATTACACATATGTGGGTTGTGCCTCCAATTATACTTGCTATGGCTAAGCATAGTTTGGTTAAGAAGTATGACTTGTCGTCTTTGAGGCAAATTGGGTCGGGTGCTGCACCACTGGTCAAGGATTTAATGGTGGAGTGTGCAAAGAATTTCCCTCAAGCTCTTGTGGTTCAGGTAATTTTGCTTAAGACCAAGATAGTAATTCAATAATGTTCAATTAAATCATTGAAATGGTACACATAGATTGCCTTGATAGTCTGAGATATTCATGGAGCAAAAGGTCAATGAATTGCATGCAACACTCTTATTATATCAGTGAAAGATATGCAACACAAATCTGGCTGGTGGTCCATTGGTTTGCAATCCTCCCTGACTCCCGTGAGGTTAGCAAGCATGAGTTTGATTCACGGGAACTCCTGCTACTTGCACCGGCAGCTTTGTAGTGAGGGGTTAGGCTATGGCTCGATTCGATTTTTGTGAGCGCCTGCGGTTTCCCGCCCTTTAGGCCCCACTGGTGGGCTTCCCTTGTGGTTTTGGGCTACTATGGCCACGCCCAGATAGGGATTGCCCCCTTGGACCCTTTTTAGATTTTCAAGATAAAAAAGAAAAGAAAAGATATGCAACACTGTCAGTCATGAATTGCATGCAACACTCATTTATGTCAGTAAAAGAAATTGCAACCTTTAGATAGGTAATGCACAATTTGCAAGCCCATGTCCATAAATTTGCTTTGACAAATTTACTTGCTGCTTTGATTGATGACGCGGACAATTTTTCTTTTTTGTACTCTATGGTTTGTGATGAGTAGCTTGGGGTTGAATGATTGGCTTCTGATCAGAAAGTTCTCTCTGATTTCAGGGCTACGGTATGACTGAAACTTGTGGAATCGTCTCAGTGGAGAGCCCAAGTGTCGGCCCTCGACATTCTGGTTCAGCAGGAAGGCTTGTTTCAGGGGTTGAATCGCAGATAGTTAGTTTGCAGACACTGAAGCCTCTTCCTCCTAATCAATTAGGGGAAATCTGGGTTCGAGGACCAAACATGATGCAAGGTACAATGTTTTGGTTAGTTGTTTCAGACGTGACAATTCATGTTGTTAGAAAAAAAATTGTTTTATTTTCTCAGTGAGTCCGGAATATGTTAACTTCTTTAATTCAGAAACGATTCAATTTCTCTTCACTTTTGTGTAAATGAAATAAGTGGTAGCACATTAATGAACGAATCAAATAGTAATAGCTGCTGAATGCCATGTAATTGACATTTCTGATTGCACTCAACATGTACCATGTTACTTGGCAAATAAAGATTGTACCTCTTGGACCTGACAGTTTTAAAGCACCTTCCCCAGGAATTTTTGGTGAGAATGACTTGTAATGTTACCTAGGGGTTACATTTACCCCAGTACTTACATCGTGCATGTGGGATGGGGGAATGACATGTGTGCAAAAGGATTAGCGGAGTGCTTTAATAGCCTAGATACATGCTAGAATCTAGATAGTCAAAAAAAAAAAGTAATAGAGCTAGCATTCGATATCCTATACTTGAAATCATATGCATCAAGATAATGGGGGTGCGAGCTTGCTATTAGCTGGTAGTTGTTGATTGTCTTGGAGATATGGTTTGCTGATCTAAATTGTCAATATGTTCAAATCTCATTTGAGTGCTATTTCATCACTATTAGGCATGGATTCTTTTAACATACTTTTACACTTCATTTTCAGGTTATCTCAACAACCTACAGGCTACGAAACTCACTATAGATAAACAGGGTTGGGTACATACCGGAGATCTTGGATATTTTGATGACGACGGACAACTGTTTGTTGTTGACCGAATTAAAGAGCTAATCAAATATAAAGGCTTTCAGGTAACTTAGTGTTCGTGTTGACTTTGCTGACTGATGCATTCAAAATCATACAGACAAATTTGATGATACATATTTAAACCAAACCAACTTGGACTCGGTGGGATATCATCTGTCATTGATTTTTCTGGTCTCACCCTCGTTGGCTTGTAACCCCCATCTAAACATGCCCATCTGTCATTGTTTGTTCTGGTCTCGCCCTCGTTGACTTGTAACCCCCATCTAAACATGCCCAGTCTGGTGAAAAGTAAAATTCTCTTTCTTGGTGATGGTTTCTTTTGCTCTTATTTTAGCATAATGATTGATCCCTGATGCCATACCTGGAAAACACTCAAATATGACCTAATTTTAAGATATATTTCATAAAATGAATTGCTTCAGCACATTTTTGGTCATTACTGAGCCCTGTCCCTGATCTTACAGTCAAATAGTTATGTTTATAATTGAAGTTCAGGTGGGTAAAACCATGGTTCTCGTTTTGGTTCTTGTATGATAAATGGGCTTAAATGTTTTAAGTGACAAAGTATATACCAGCGCAGATGTGAGAGTATGTTGTTTATAATTTGTTTCAGGAAGGTGGATGCTGTGAAATGCTGATGAACCACCTAAGATAAACTCATTACTTGTTTGCAATAAATCTACCACTTGTTTAAGTTTAAGAATCCATTCTTATATAATAAATCTTAATGACCTATGAATGCTTTCAGCAGCGTGAGTGATTCCTTGTGTATTCACACTTGCTCCCCCCCCCCCCTCTCGCTCTCTCTCTCTTGTCTAGTGCACCTTCTTGTAGGTCAAAGACTCGCCCTGACTGCAATGTCCAATGACCCTGTTCTTCAGAATATAAAGGTTGACCTCTTGTGAGTGATGGAAAGAAGAAAAACCTGCAGCATTGGGGTAGGGGATGTTAGATTGGATGTCAGGAGCTCATACTTGCACCTCCGAACCCTTGCCTATGCAAGATAATGTTGTGTTTTTCCTTAAGTAGGGAGTGTAACAAGTAACAACTGAGATAAAGTAACTGCTTGCCATGTGATTGGCATTTTCGTTTTAAATGGTGTATGTGTACTAGATCACATGGTTGCTTTTATGCTTCTTCTAAGTGTGAGTCCACATTTATTTGCTGAATATATCATCATTATACCTATGAAAGTGTCAGAGACTGGTTTATGCATAGAGGGCTGACATAATTGGATCTCCCAGATACACTGGAAAGAATTATGTCCCATCATATATTATCTTTTTTTCACATGGAAAAGTTACTCTTTACCTCCTTGTGGATTGAGTTAGTGATACTTTACTGCCCTATATTCCATTAAATCTACACTTCATCCTCTTACTGTTTATGACTAAAGTGCAATAGCTGATGAAGTTAGTTAATTAGTTTAAAATACTAGCATTTTCCTTTGTGAAAAATGTGTGGTGTCAATAATCTCGTAACTCGTAAGGGATGGAAAGAAAAGAGAGAGGATTTGTTTTAGAGAGAAAAAGAAAAGTAAAAGGTATCATAATCATTTTGATCAGTTGTGTTGCTAAAAATCAGACTTCTGACTTTAACAATCAATTTCAACATGAATTCTAAGGGTGACACTTTAGTCCAAGACCATGATGTGGTGAAGTGGAGGTTTCCCAACTATGAGGAGGTGAAGTGGCCTGGCTTAAAACATAGGGGATAAAATGAAATTTACCCTTGCATTTCCATCCCTTAGAAGCAATCCTCATGAATAGTTTGTTTGTGTTGGCCTGTTTGGTGTCTGACAGATTTTTTTCTACATATTTCAAGTCATAGATCATCTATAACTCCTCTGATTGTATCTGAAAATGCATAAGCATGGTCTTCTGAAATCACCCCGTTGTTTGGTGTATCCTACTTTAATTTCATGTGCTGATCCTTTCTAGGTTGCACCTGCTGAGCTCGAAGGGCTACTTATTTCGCACCCTGAAATACTGGATGCTGTGGTAATCCCGTAAGTCAACAAGCTCAAAATTGTTTTAACTCATCTCTCAAAACTTTCATGAAACTTTAACTGTTATTTGATTATACATCTCTAAGTTGAGTTTTACTTGTAGATTTCCTGATGCTGAAGCCGGAGAGGTCCCAATCGCATATGTTGTACGCTCTCCCAACAGTTCTCTGACTGAAGAAGATGTTCAGAAATTTATTGCGAGTCAGGTATCATGTCTGAGTGTCTTCCCCAGACCCAGGAAAATAAAAATGACAAAAAAAAGGGTATGGTTAAGGAAAACAGGCCTCATCCTTCGAAATACGTTAGTTTCTAGTCAACATTCACAAGGTTCTCTTCTATTAGCCACAGTCCCACAGTTGGATTGTTGCAAACATTAGAGGGGGGCAGGTCTTCGTCAGAGAACATGGAATGGTGTTAGTTGGTTGTTTTCTTCATTTTCGGATTTAGTGACAAATCTGGAGTGATGATATGGGTTCAATTTTGTCGTGACAAAAGAGTAATTAGGTTCAATGCGGTGTTTAGTGTTATTCATCCCTAAGCAACCTCCAAGATGGGCCTTTCACTATATGTGAAGATGTATGAATGTCCTATACAAGCACTCCTGAAGGGTCCTCCTGTACCTTCATTGATTCTTTCATTCCAGTTGGACATATGAAAGAATTAGACTTACATCCAGAGGACATTAGCCTAAGGTTACTTCACCTGTTTTAGCCTTTAGGATAAGCTGGTAATGCAAGGAATAAAAAAGCCTCTCATTATATTATTGATGACCAATCAGAGATGTCTTTATTACTGTCACGTTGATCGTGATCAGAGGGGAGAACCCGTTGTGGAATCTTTGTGTTCCATCTATCTGGATATTGTTTATGTCGTGTTAGAAATTCTTTTTTAACAGCATAGAAACTGAAATGTGAAAGTTTACTGTTTTTTGCTGGCCCATATGCTATCTTTGTAACTTGTATATCTGTCTGTTCAGGTTGCACCTTTCAAAAGATTGCGAAGGGTAACATTCATAAACAGTGTCCCAAAGTCAGCTTCAGGCAAGATTCTCAGAAGAGAGCTTATTGAGAAAGTCCGATCCAAGCTGTAAGACGTGTAATGTTTATTGTCTAAGGTGGTTGTTAGAGAAAAGGTTGAATTTCCTCTATAAAAATTGCCCATAAGATGAACAAGACTTGATGTTAATTTAATTGTCATCAGATTACTTTCTCAAATTGGGTTTCAAAATATGAATATCAATACAATGAATAAGGTTACAATACTGATTCGATAGCGCACTAAAGTTCATCTTCAGTAGTTGATTTTAGTTATAAGATGATTTGTAACAATTAATTAAAAAAAAAAAGAAAGGATTAATCTCACTTTGCACCCCAAAGATGTTTTGATTCTTAATTTGTACCCTCAAAATATTAAAAATTTTAATTTGCACCTTCAATGTTATGAATTGGTTACAATTTGCACCTTGTCCCAAAAGATCTTTTAGTTTTTTTGTTATAAATTGAAGCACATCATTTGCAAGTGTTTTGGGCATGGATTTGTGTAAAATTTTCATATTGTTGGTGATTCATGTGAGTTGCACATGATAGGATTAAAGTCTATGTAATTAATAAAATTTTATTTTCGATACACAAAATGGTATTAAATTAATTTCAGACGAAAATTTATAGCGATATATATACTTCATTCACATGTCGAAACACATTCATCTCACGTGCTTTAATTTTTGATAAAAAAACTAAACGATAGATTGGATCAGGTTTATATTATTATCAATTCATAATATTAAGAGTGCAAATTGAGATTTTTAATGTTTAAAAGTAAAAATTGAGAATCGAAGCATTTTTTGAGGTGCAAAGTGAGATTAATTCAAAATAATAAAATAGAAAAAAAAATTGTAGGCATTTGAATTTTATTGGATACAATACAATTTATGCTTGCATTCCAAAACCTAACACGATTCTATTACCAATCTACCTCATTTATCAAATTTATTTACTAATTTACTGTCGTTTTTAACTTATTTACCAAACTACCGCTGTTTTAAAAGCGGATTTGACAAATTTGAGTTCATGGGGAAAGCGGATTTGGAAAATTCGACTTCATTTGGAAAGCGGATTTAACAAATCCGACTTTATAGGGAAAGTGAATTTGGTAAGTCCGACTTTATAGGGAAAGCGAACATACTAAATCTGACTTCATTTAGAAAGCAGATATACCAAATCCATTTTTTAATATTTCATCTAATTTTCTTACTGGAATACCACCCGAAATTTTTGACTTTATATATTTTCTCCCTAAAAAATAAATCACTCATTTTTATCATATATTTAATTATTTAATATTTGATTAATTTGTAAATAATATATTTTGAAAAAATTTAATATAGTGGGATCGATTTTTTGGATGCTCAAATTTTATATTTTATCGTACCTTCAGGCATGGATTATAACTAATAAATTTAGATAGAATCTATTAGTGGATTTTTAACGACTAATAAAGGTGAGTAATCTATTCACAAAAATATAGAATCAGAGAGACCAAACGTATTCAATAAATAGTCAAATACTCTTTTGGCGATCAACACAATTATATATATAAAGACTTGCACTTTGGTAAGTCCCCTTTCCATATAAAGGCGGATTTGGTATGTCCGCTTTCCTTATAAAGTCGGATTTACCAAATCCGCTTTTCAATTGAAGTCGGATTTGTCAAATCCGCTTTCCAAATGAAGTCGGATTTGCCAAATCTGTTTTTCCCATGAAATCGGATTTGTTAAATTCGCTTTTAAAACAATGATAATTTGATAAATAAATTGAAAATATCAGTAGATCGGTAAATAAGTTTGATAAATGAGGTATATTGGCAATAGATTCAACTTAACACTGTCATGGGCAATAAGCAGTGCCTTTGGTTCTCTCCGTTTCACCTGAAAAGACAAAGACATAGGAAAACCATGGTGTCATGAACAAACAAGTGTTCAACCATGTTTAATAGTCAGTAATTTCACACTTGCATTTGCAAATGTGATATATGTTTTCATGTGAAATTTCACGATTATAATGTTCTATTCTTTACGACATGAAAATATTTAATATTTGTCACCTCTTTTAAATCGGAATAGTTAAAATTTGAAAATCTTTCGACCGAAAGTAAATTAGATACAAATGTGTCACCTGGGCAATTCTTTTAAAAAAAAGTCTAGAAAAGATGACTACAAAGACTAACCACAAACAAAGAAATTTCCACCTCCAGAATTTTTCTCGTTGATGGTGAGCCTCTGGGGTCCTCTTAAGTAAGAGGTCATCATTTCTAGAAGGTCACGTTATCACTTCTAGAAGGTCACGTTAACCTCAAGGAAAAAGCCTTTAACAACCAAATATTAAGTAAATATTCTTCAACATTTCTATTATAAAAGTAATGATTACCAGGGTATATAGGGTAAGTCAATACACTACCCATAACAAGAACTTAATGTATTTATCTCCTACCTCAAGCAACATACAACAGAAGAAGTAAGAGCTTCTCCCAGCTCAAGCAACATACAATAGAAGAAGTAAGAGCCTCCGTTACATTGAACTAATCTTAAGAGCCTCTATTACATTGAACTAATATTTCTCTTCAACAGGACAAATCACTTCAACTTGCGCATTCTATATCGCTTTACTCACGCATAAACCGCACTCACTTAACACCCCCATTCACCTCAAACTTCGTGGTCTATAACGCCATTAAAACTAAAAGGTGAATACAATGAGATTTAATCTCAATATGCATATACGAAGTAGTTTATTCACTCTTGATTTTTCTCAAAATATGGGAGGATATGCCGGCATTAAGAGATGACGATTGTTCTAGTGGCCAAACCGTGCAAAACAGGAACAAAATATATATATATATATATAGCCCAGAGGTAGTCTACCGGCCTCATCATTCTTGTTAGAGTGAATTTCACTTTTCACTTTGAAAAATTTTAAAATTTTTACTTTGTTCTTAAAAGATTAAATTTTAGATTGCAAAATCTGTTTGCTTATATATTTTTAAAAATAATTTTAAAAAATAAAAAATTATAAAATCTGTTTAGACAATTATTCACAAAGCCCCAGTTCTCATCTCTCTCTTTCTTTTCCCTCTCTCTCTTTCCACAAAAAAAAACACACACTCACACAAACGCACATACACGCACCCACTCACATAGGCACAGATAGATCTGAGTATATACACAAAAATCTGAAGTAGATATATATATAAAGAGAGAGAGAGAGAGAGTTGTGGAGAAGAAGAATGAACAGTCTCTATTTTTTGCTTCCAACGAAACTCGAATGAGAGATCTCATTAAATTGGAAATAGGTTGTTCTCGTGTTTTCATTTTGCCTTAGAAAACAATGAATATACAATTTTGTTGTTTTCTAAAATCAATCCTCAATTCCTAAAATTTTCAAAATAATTGAAGAACAAAAAACAGTTTTTAAAAATCAAATCAAATAGACCCTCAATTTTTCAAGTGCAAGAGACTACTTAAACCGTTTGCGAAAGAAGACTGAAAATGAATGATAAAGCTGGTATTAGAATAAATAAGAGAGCAGACACAAACTCCAATAGTTGGTTGGAGCATGAATGAGAGAGCTAGTTCAACACAAGAAACCAAAGAAAGATGACTATGCAAAACCATGAGACTCATTTTAAGCAGTCACGCCTTAACCTTAACTCCAAGGGCAAAGAAGTTTGGAGGAAGAAGAGAGATGAAACATTACCATCTACCAATGATATTAATGTCAGGAAGCTACAAGGCAAAGTCAACTTGGTCCCAAGGACCATGACTCTAGAGCTACTTTGGAGAGCACAAATGAGCCACTGATATGGCTTCATGCATCAACGTTAGAAATGCTATTCTTACAGACCAATCACCTTTGCAATCTGTTTGAAGGATATGGAATACATTCTCGCAGGAAAGCAATGGGAAGAAAGTTTTCTGCGCGACTTGTCGTTAGAAGACACAAATGATAGTTAGGATGAATCATACTTGTTCGGTTGTTCCTTTGTCTATTGTGTTGAGCCTCTAAAACTTGATGTGCCATATAAACTAGGTTGAGAATTATTTTGTAACGCTTTAGAGCTTGTGTCGAGCCTTGGTGCTTGATTATGTCTGTTGTACTCCTTTTTCTCCTTTAATCACAATTTATATTTAACGAAAAAACAATCACCATTCATCTTAGACATGATATAGATGGTATGGTTCCATTCCGATACAAAAAAATATTTTTGCTTTACTTTTTAACCAAAAGAAAATATGCGATATGCAATTATTTTTAATAAATGATTAAAAATAATTCAATTCAAATTGATTGCGGAGATTAATGGAAATACAGTACAACCTTAGTTTCCATAGCCTTACCTAGGCTTCAGCAAAAAGCCTAAAGCCCGACAGCCCAACGGGCTAATAAGCCCGCCTGAACCTATACACGTGGTAGGATGTGGCAGCCCGCTAAGAAGCCCTTTGGGCTGGGCCGTTAACAAGCCCAGCCATTTATAGCATTACAGTTACAACACCCCTAACAAAAAAATTACACAACCCTCTCTCACTCAATTGCACATCCGTCCCTCATTATTTCAATATTTCATCACCACAATTCAATCACTTGAAGCTCATTTTTTATTTTTTTTATCTAACTTTTTTTATTATAACTTGCTAATTCGATGAAGTTAGAGTTGAAACATTAGATAGAAGTTGTTAGAGTACTCACACTCAATTAATATGAATATTTTTTTTGTTAATTTATTTTTTCCTATCATACTTTATTAATTTATGTCATTTTGTAATTTTTACATAAAAAAATAATTTTTTTAAAAATGTCCTATTTAGGCCCAAAAAATAGGCCATAAGACCTGACCCATATTTAGCCCGCTTTTGGCCTAATAAGTTGGCCCACAAACGGGGATATGGGCCTTACATTTTTCCACTGGCAGATTCAGCCCGGCCTGTTGACCAGTCAAACTCCAAAAACCCAGCCCATTAGAAAGCTATGGGCTGAAAAATAATAGTCCGGCCCGGCCCGTTGTTGGAAGCACTTTCGCGGACTAAATTCATCCATAAACTCAGACTCCTAGATGGTAATAAGCTGAAACGATCGTGGACATTTTTGGGATTCGAATATAAATTTGTCCACCCTTCATTTGCTCTAGTCTTGAAGAACAGTCGATCTTCTCTCTCCTCAGTGCAGTCGTTGTGGCACAAACTGGACTCGATAGACTGTCTATCGCAGCGAAGACGTCTCAGAAAATTCCTGTAGGGTTTCCTATCTTTGAATTCGTAGTACTCCGAGAAATCAACCATCTCAGTCTCTAGTATGGCCAGACATTTAGGTTTTCTGGTTCTGTTTCTGTCTATCATATCGATCGGCAAAGCTGTGATCTTCAGTCCAATATCAGACTCTCATCGATCTGCGGCATCGGAGCTCTTCTCGGTCACCGATGGATCTTTTGGAAGGTTAATCTAAGCCCTCATTAAACCCCTACTCTCTAAATATATGCGTGTGTGTATGTATAAAGTTCAGTTAATTGTCCTGATCTGAAGAAAACTTATTTCCATTTGATCTGATTATTGCGCAATACGTTTCTTTTTTCCCCGTATAGATTATTTCTCCATAATTTTCCGCTTGCTTTTGAGAAATCGGACTGAATGAAATGAGAAAAATAGAATTTATATTCTTATTTTTGCGTTAAGTTTCCAAATTGAAATAAAGAATGAAGGTTATGTGGGAAGTCTTAGCGTCTTTAACAAATCTTTTCCATTGTTATTATTTTCAGCCACCAAAAGGAGAGTCAAAATAGTTTTGACTGTTATACAATTCGATATTTGGACAGTTAGTTGTACATTAAAGTTGTGGGCACCTTGGATTGTGTTTGGTTTCATCATCAACATGAATGAGGAGTAGATTTCATCTATGGTAGTGTGATGTTTAGACATCAAATTATTGGTTCTCTCGAGACACTTGGTTACCCACTTATTTGCAATTTGTTCTGATTCTAATTTTGTCTATGAAGTTGGACTGTTAATGTAGTGCTAAGGTAACATCCCGACCCTAAATAGATTAAATAATTAAATATTTTACGGTTCAAATGATACTTATGGGAATTATAATAATTTTATTTGGGGTCAAATTATAAGTTATAAAACAATTAAATTTGGATTTAGAATATCTAATTAGTGAGCTTTAGGAAGTAGAAAAAAAAATGAATGACTAAGTTTACTGGTGGCATGATTTGGTGGTGAGGTGATTAAATTATATGGTATCTATGATAGTAATATAAATATGTAACGTATATAGACATTAGTGACATAAAATATAAAGAAAAATATATAAATTATGGGCAAGTGTGTGTGTGTGTGTGTTAGAGAGAGAGAAAGAGTTAAGTAGTGTGAGTCATGTTAATGCCCTGAGAAATCAACAAAGTGTCTGTGACTAATGTGTATAAGCAATGGAAATAATCAAGAATGAAAAGATCATGACAACTTAGAAAAGAATGTAAGGAGGGGTAGGAAACCAATAGAAGACAAGAAAAAAAAATGAGAGAGCTAATCCGAGAGCTTTGAAAGAGAAATTTAAAGATGATTTATGACCCCTTTGATACAAGATTAGAGTGTGTTATTCACGACAGCTTGCTGATTATGTCTATCGTGTCAGGTTGACTCAATGTCATGATTATAGTTACACAACGTGATTGTGGCCCGGAGGGGTGTGGGAGAGAATGAAATGTACCGAGTGATGTCTAGCACACAGTTGGGATGAACTGAGTATGAAACTATTTGTGAATTGGAACATTAAATTGTGGGGTTCTGTTTGTTCTACGAAATTTATATGAGAAACACTTGTTCTTTTTAATTCATGCTTCTGTGTGTGATCATCAATTGTTCGTTTATTGTTTGATCCTCTCATTCCGTATGTTGTAATTTAATCAATTTATTGGGCCTCCCAAGCTCGCCTCCTATTTACCCTCTCAGTTGCGAGTTAAACTTGGAGTAAAATTTGATGGAAGATTAGATCAATTAAAGAATTGAAGACTTTTGATCGATTGTAATTAATTTTATTATCGGGAGATTATTTATTCACTTTTGAGGATTTTAGTGCTCCAAAACTTAAAAGAATTCAATGAGCATTGGATCAATTGAAAATGTATCTAATTTTATTTTTCTATGAAAATTTTGTGTTAGGGATTTTATTTATGGAAATTGAATTTGTGTTATTCAGGTTATTACTTATTAGCACTATGAATTATATGAAATTAGGTCAGGGTGTTACAGCTAATGCTTGATTTGTACAAATTCACCTTATTCCTTTCTCTCAATAACATAACCATTTTGATGGCTATCATCATCTGCAACATGTTTTTGATTGAGTTGTCATCCCCATGCGTTGTGAATCCATTGTCTTTTTTGCATAAGCTGTCCTCGACAACAATTGTCTTTTTGCATAAGTGTCCTTGCCATGTGTTGTCATGATTCCATTGCCTTTTTCCCCTTTACCCCTTCATGGTGCAATTGGTTGTCCATTGGTGTAGTTATTAATTCTCTCCTCTCCCCCTTGTCTCCTTGTGTCTTCCTGATCTTTAATTTGGCCGTTGTTACATGCATATCAAATGGAACTTGAAAAGGGTATCTAAATTGATGTTTTCTGTTTTCAGCTTGGAAGACACATATGAGGCTTTAAGGACGTTTGATATTCTTGGAATAAATAAGAAGTCTGATGTAAGTGCTTCGACTTGCAAATCTGTGGAGGAGATACTATGGTCACCATCGTCAAATTTAAAGGATCTGTTCTATGCATTGAGAGTTAATGGGCTATTAAAATGTGACCTAAAAGACGAGGCTTTTACGGTATTCTTAAGCTCTCTGCACTGATTTGTTGTCTTAGCCTGAAATTGTTTTTATTAAACGCAGCTGTGTTAAAGCTTTTATTTTCTTCTCTTTTAGGCCATCGCTTCTAGACTTAAATATTTTGTCAATGATGCAAATTCATTGCTTGACGCCTACCATTCAATAGGAGGGTTGCTACTTATCAAGGTAATTAATACACTGGAGTGCACAAATAGTTTTCTTTCAATTTTGCATTAAAAATGCGTTGTTTCCACTCTATACATATGGTATAAAAGAAAATTTCGTTCTCAATCTGTTTTATGTTTTCAGAATCTGGATCTCATTTTCTCATGATTTGCTATGCAGGATCAGTCGTCTGAAGTGGATGTACTTCTTGGAGATGCTGATGGGGTTTATCAATCCATTAAGGTTGGTTCTACCTTTCTGGAATAATATTATTTAGTATATGACTACTCTTTTTTTTTTTTTAGGGGGTGGGGGGTGTGCATTTGGTTAGGCTTTACATGTTGTTCCTGTAATGGAACTTGGTTCTTTAACAGCCTGAGTTGATCTTGAAATTTCTTGACAGGCTCTCAGCCAAAGTGATGGAAGGTGGCGCTATAGTTCTAAAAATCCTGAGGCTAGTACTTATGCTGCAGGTGATGATTTGTCTCCATTGTTGAAAGTCGTTGACAACATCTATCTATACTATTAAGCTTAATTTTTATCCAGAGTTTGCTTTGTCTATACTCATCTGCTCCTTTTTAATAAACTTCTGACAGGAATAGCACTTGAGACCCTTGCCGGAGTTGTTTCATTATCATCTTCCGAGATTGATCAATATCTGGTTAGTTGACATTCTATTTTAGTTTTGGCTCATGAAGAAATCTGAAGTGGTTTGAAAAATCATTAACCTGAAACTACTGTCATCGTTTTTCCAACGCATTCTAAAAAAGGAGTTGTCGTGTCCATTTTTGGTTTAGTTCAACTGATTTTGGACAATTCTAATCTAAAATTAGCTCCTTATTGGCAGATTGGTACATTAAAGACTGATATACTGAAGCTTTTTGATGGTATTGAGAAATATGGTAGGTGTTCTAACAGGTCTTTCTCCCTTCTAATTGTATGTATCTTAATACTAATATTCTTTTGTGTTATTTTTGAAGGTTTTTGTGCTTCTCTTCATATTGCTCATGATCCAATTTTTTTACTCTCTCACTCCCTTGAAAAATTACGACATGTCATGATTGGCTTGCTTGAATATATTGGCTGCTACGAATTAAAGCAAAAAGTAATTTTGTGAATGAGTTGCCTTATGCACTAGACTATGTAGCATCAACCCCTCTTAAGAGGAGCGTTGTACATATTTGAGATGACACTCCTGGAATCATATTTGACGTAGATATGCCTCCTGAAGTGTCCAAACCATGTTTTATGAAAAGATTTATTCACTTGGTCTGCATATTTCAAGAATGTAAAGATGAAGAACAAAGCTATGAAGAGAAAGGCACAAGTAAACAAAAAAATAGTTATGCGTAGCATGTTGTTCTACTTCACTTTCCAAGATGGGCAAGGACATGGAGTTGCTCTCTTGTATGTATAGGGGTTGTGGGTTGGTTGACTAGGGACATGTATAAGAATATATTCCATGTCATGATCTTGTTTCTTTACTATTTTTGATTTTGTCACATGTAGGGCCTTTACACATACCTGCGGTACATAGTTACTTGAGATTGTGTGCTGTATCACTCTTTGTACTGCCAGTACTAACACATATCTTTGTGTCCATTTGCCATGCAACTTGTATGAATTGTGGCCAATGGTTGATATATGACATCATAGAAGGGTAGCGTACCCTCTAATATATATTCATCTTCTTTGATAAGTATCGGATCAATATAGATATGATGCATCTCGGAAGTCTATGAAGAGGAATATTTTTTATCAGTACAAATGTTATTGAAAGGTATAGAGAAGGATCGAAATTTCGTTTCGAAGTATCGTTTCGGTCAGCTAAAAAATGGAAACGATCCGGAAACGCAATGAAAACGCGGAAAAAATATGAAAACGCGTGGAAACACAAATACAATCTATTAATCTATAAAGATAAGCTAAATAATTGATTAATTCAACATATTTATTGGGTTAACATCTATTTATACAAGAATAAATTTAAATTGGAGAGAAAAAAAGGCTTGACATGAGGCGAAAATCACTTAAATTAGTTTCAAACACTTAATTTTTATCAAATAAACATATTTTTACATAATTTTAAGGTCTCATAATACACATAAAATGTTAATAAGTCCATACTTACATGGTTACATCCAGTCCCCTGTGGAGTGTCGAGCAGGCTCATACATCAGTGTAGGCTCTGGGTAGCTATTTAGAGAAACTCCATATGTGACATAAATATGATGACAATAGTTACTCCAACTCATATTATTACGATAATATGAATTATATTCTCTCCCAAACCTCTGATAGCCTGCAACACTACATCCAATCTGTTGGGAAACGAATGCACTAGTCCCTGGCCAACCTTCATCTTGTCTATATGAGGAGGATGTCTGGGAGTAATAGCCAGATCCATAACCATATGTTGAGGATCCATATTCGTATCCTCGTGTGTCATACCCCAATCCATAATCATATGAGGGAATGTCATGTCCAGAATCATAACCATATGAAGACGACGAACCATAATTATGGTGTTCACTCTACTTCCACTCCCACTTATACTCATAGTAGAAAAACCATCATTAATCATATCAGCTCCATGCCTAATAACACCCATACCATGTGGAGTGATCGGATTTTGAGTATGCTCACGTTGACGATCTCGAGTTGATTTTGAGTGTCGTTCATATTGAAGCATTTGTCTAGAGCCATGATCTTCATATTGTGTAACATGTGTAAATCCTTCCTCTACAGTGAATACAATTCCATGTAGACTTTGGCTCTCCATACCTACATCACCACCTCTGCTGTCACCATCTCCACTACCACCACCATCACCTCCACCATCTTCATCATCATCCTCACCACCATCATCATTATTACCATCACTCTTATGATCATCTTCAGTACTATTAGTGACAGTGATAGGTTGCTTACATCTTGGTGGACCTCTCATTAGTCTGTCAAACTCTTCATCATCCATCGCTTTACTTGATCCTCCTCTATTTATTTTGGATCTTGATTTTTGTGGTGGCACAACACCTTCACTTAGGCCTACTCCTCCATCGTCATCGGAAAAACAATTTGCCCACGTCGCTAGGAAAGTGTTTGGTCTTGTTGATTGCCCATCATCATCAAGTTCATCTAAAAATGTATCACCAAGATCATCTAACCACTTCGAAATACTTTCATCTTCCTCAAAAACAGTGGTTAAGTCTATAGGTCTGAATTCATACCATTTTTTATCCTTCATAAGGTGTTTTAACTTCAACCTCATGTTATATTGTGCAAACACCAGCCATTCTAACTTTTGATAATTGAGTCGATTCTGCACTTTAGTATGAATGAGAGCAAATGTGCTCCAGTTTCTCTCACAACCACTAGATGAGGCTGTTTGTGATAATATTCTCATAGCAATCTTTCTCAAATTTGAAGCATTAGTGTCATACATAAACCACCATTTAGCTGCATAATAATAAGAAACATATTAAAACCTTAATGAAAAATATAAATAGAAAATTATGAGAATAAAATATAAATGTGTAAATAATCTACTTAATTACTTGAATCACTTTTTGTTCTTCCTCTAATTGTAGCTTGGTCAGCAAAATAATACATGGCCTCCCGAAATATTTTTACTTAAATATCTTGGATATGTTGATGTTATGTATTAATTTAGCACATTTGTAAATTGAGATTGAAATACTAAAGTATTATCTCTACAAGTGCTTTAGCAGCCTTGTTTGGATTTGTCACTAGTCTCGACACAACGATCCGAAGTGAACCCAAGAAACCTTCTAACACACCAACATCTTCTTCATAATGGTATGTGGAGTTCAAGTAATAAGCTACACAATATAAATAATGATAACACTTATAAATAATAACATCCAAAATAATAACACTTATCAATAATAAAAATATAAATTGGTAAACAATAAGTTTACCTGCCATATGAATATGTTGAATGATTTGTTTTTTTCATGCAGCATCAATGATGTCAAGATATTTTTTGCACGATTTAGGAGCCGTGTCTTTGACAGCTTGTCTTGCTCGTTTCATTACTTCTTATACATATGGTATTATTGTTTTTCTTTCCTCATCCACCATTCTTAGAACTTTTGCAATAGGTGTATGTATATTCAACACATTTTTGGCGGTCTCCCAAAATTTAGGATTTAGAATTGGCCCTTGAATTTGCTTTCCAACTGCATCTTTTGCCGTCGCAGTCCTAGACCAATCTTCTGAAGTAAACATCATTTGCAAACCATTTGTCTGCTCTAAAATACTTTGTAGGGCAATATAATTAGTGACAAATTTTGTTTGACCTAGCCAAATCAATTCTCTTGAACAAAATATTCTTATTATATCCAAGACTCTATTATGATTATAGATAAAATTGGTCACTTTTTTAGCTTGCTCTAGCACATTTTGAACCGTTTTAATCTTGAAAAAATTATGCAAAATCAAATCTAGAGAGTAGGCAGCACAAGGAGCCTAATATAAGTGTGGTCTTCTTTTCATTAACATTTCACCAGTTTTTTTATACGCACTGCCATTATTTGTAATAATCTGAACCACATATTTTTTTCCAATCTCCTCAACAACAGCATCCATCAACCCCAAAATATAGTTAGCATCCTTGTCTTGGCCAGAACTATCAATTGACTTGTGGAAGATAACTTTTTTTATCACAATATATCAAAAAGTTAATGATAGATAATCTTGTGGTGGATGTCCATCCATCACACATGATTGTCACTCCATAAATCTCCTGCTTCTTTTTGAACTGGTCAATGTACTCTTTAAGCTTATCTATCTCATTATCTAGCAATGACCCGCCAATCTCATATAGGGTTAGGCCTTTCACACCCATTCCAGCTAAAGCAATTTCATCAATCATCAATTGGTAAAAATGACCTTGAGTTTTGCTTGGTGGAATATTTTCATAAATGAAATACTTTGCAATCGCATGTTTTGTCGACTTTGTCCACTTTTTGGGATTCCACATATGAGTTAGCTTGGCTTGCTTCACTTCCCTATTCCGATACATCGAAGGATCCATCTCTTCTATCGTGAGATCCTTTTCTTTGCCCATCAACTTTTGTGATTTTTTTGAGAATGTATCCCAAGATTCCTTCACACTATGTGAGCGCATCAAACCCTTAGATATACCACCTTTTTGGATAGATGGTCTAGAACTTCCTCCTCTAAGGCCCTGCTCGGCCATATGTATATCACGAATAGATTGTTGTTTTGCATACTCAATATCAGCTCTATATTCTATATTCATATCATCATCTGAATTCTCATCGGAAGAATAAATTTCGATACCACTCCTCTGCCTCGATCCACCAATTAAATTTTGTCTCATTTTTTTTCGTTCATCAGTCACTTCTGCATTTTTAGTCTTGTTGCGATTCAAGTAATCCCTCATAGTTCTCACAATTTCAATAGGACACTTATCACATTGTTCCACATTATTATAACCATCTGCCAAGTGTTGCTTAATCGTGACACACCGCCACCCATCATTTTTTTTATGGCAAAAATTACACATCACATGATGTCGATTATCCCCAATTCGTTCGCCGTAATTCTATCTAATATCACGTTCTTTTTTCTTTTTCTGCGATAATTCAGTAACCACATTCTTTCCCTTTGATGTCATATCTACAATAAATATCATTACATCATCAAATATATTATATTCATTTTACAAATTAAATATGACATGTATAACACTTTTAATTAAAATATAATAATATAAAAGAATAATTACAAAAATGAAAAAAAATAATGAAAGGTATCAAATTAAATTAATGTTACTTATGTATGCAATGGGGTATTAAATGTAATTGCAGTGGGGTGGTAAATATAGTTACAGTGGGATATTAATTGTAATTGCAGTGGGTATTAACTATTAAATATAATTGTAGTGAGGTATCAAATGTAATTGCAGTGGGTATTAACTATTAAATGTAATTGCAGTAGGGTAGTAAATGTAATTACAGTAGATATTAAATGTAATTACAGTGGAGTATTAACTATTAAATATAATTACTGTGGGGTATTGAATGTAATTACAGTAGGTATTAAATATAATTATAGTGGGTATTAAATATAATTATTCATACTTATAACAAAAATATATATATATATAAGGCCGACAGTAGACCCACCACCGTGAACGACTCAGTCTCAAACACACGACTCAGACAAAACACAAAGAGGCGAGGCAATGGCTATGGTGATGCCGATGCCAGAGAGAGAGAGAGGAAGAAGAAGAAGAACATACCTTGGCTCGTGGTCACTGCAATGAAGACTGGAGGATTTGCGTGGAAAATCCGAGCCCATAAATAAGACATGCCAGTTAATTTTCCATTTGGCTAATTTTGAACGAAGTTTATCCTGAAGACTTTATCATACTCGTTGATCCTTGTTTAAAACATATATTAATATGTGACCATTAATGCTGAATTTTGGGATGGAAGTGAGACCATGAAAAAAAAGTAGACTTTTAGCATCCTCTATGTCACAATCTTGCAGGGCCTGGGTATGATTTGTGGCAATTTTCTGTTAATGATGAAATGAAATAAGCACTTTTTCTGTTAATTATGAATGTGTGAGTACGCACTTGTTGACGGAATAAACTACCTATAACGGAAAACATGCGAGACACTGAATCATGTAAATTACAACTGATACAACAAGCCAATATTACATCCTTTTGCATATCTGACTCCATTTCATATTGCAGATAATGGGGCCTGTTACTTTGATGATAAACTTATTGATGTACACGGACATCAGGGTCCTCTTTCAGCTACCTCATCTATAGTTCGTGGGCTGACAGCTTTTGCATCTGTTACTTCTGGTAGTTTAAATGTGCGTGGGAGTTTACTCAGTGTTGCCGGGTTTATTTATTATTTTTTTTTTGTGCTTTAATGCCTTCTAAAGCTTTTGGGTCAAATTTGCAGGTTCCAGCCGACAAAATATTGGGTTTGGCAAAATTTTTCCTTGGCATTGGAATTCCTAGCAATGCCAAGGACTTGTATAACCAGATTGATGCACTCGCCTGCTTGGAAAGCAATAGGTAAGCAAACACAAAAATGTGTTGCATTTGGCTTTTTAGTGAACTTTCTTCATTTCATGATAAAGCAATTTCGCAACTTGTGCGTGTGTGTAAAATAGTGCACTTCGGGATTTTCCTGATACATGCTATTAAAATTTCAATATCTGTTGCTGAATATTGCATGCAATATTTGTATTTTCCTTCTAATTCTCGCCCTTTTATATTTTATTCAACGTTGAGAACAGCAAAGGGTTGTACTAAATTCTAAGCTATCCTCCAAGTTGCTGGCAACAGTAATATATTTTTCTTCCAAAAAATTATCTAATTTGATTTTGCACTGTACAGGGTTTCCATTCCGCTGATTTTATCACTTCCAGCTACTGTGCTGTCATTGACAAGAAATGATAATCTTAAGGTGCACCGTTTTGATTATTCTCTGATGTCCTTGTCTAAAAAAGGACGTACTCATTTATACTTGCTGTTGGTTTAGTTTTAATCAAGTATGCCCGCATGTGCTTTACTTCAATTCCCCCCTCGCATTTCTCTTGATATTTGGTATATTTTTTTGCATTTCCATTTTGTTATGTGACAACTAGAAAGTATGAATTTAAGTAGGATAAAGCTACCATATTCTCCTAATATAATACGATGGCATACACAACATGTCTAAAACAATATGAACACAGTTCCAGGGCTACATAATCACAAAGCACACATGATAAAGCCTATCCCATCAGTATGGATCATAATTTGATTCTTTTATGATTGAAGTTATTCTGACAACCAAACTCCATGATTTTGTGACTTTCAAGATGTTTATGCTTTTTGTGATTGCCAAACTCCAGTTTATTGGTGATAACTAAGGGTGTTAATCGTGTCGGGTTAAACGGTTACATGTCGGGTTAAACGGGTGATGGGTTAAAAACATATAAACCCATACACGACATGTTTAATAAACGGGTAAAAAACTTCAACGCGAACACGAACTGTTTAATAAACGAGTAACACGACACGACTCGTTTAACCCATTTAACTCAAAATTTAAACATTGGCCCAAGATAAAAGCCCAAAGCTTTATTCAGTGCTGACCCAAAAAACACTGAAAGTAACTGTCTTGACTTCTGAGCAGTCTCATGTGAACTGCTTGAGCATAGGAAACTATAACCATTTATAGACATGAGATGCTGCATCTCATGTCTATTCGACGTGGGATACTGTTCTAAGGCAAAAAAATGCCTTCCAAAGGGCTGTGTGTTGCTGCCTTCCCAAGAGTTGTATTCAAGACGAATTAATAATGAAATATATTTAAATATTTTATCATGTATTTGTGTATAAAATTTACTCTTTAAATTATATTTTTTAATAACTTTTGTATATGTGAACTTCATGAAACTAACAATCTAACAAATTTGTATGGCTTATATATTTTTTGTGGTTATCACTAAAGATAAAAAAAATATGGCTATTTTTTTAAAATAATTATTAATTTATTATTATATTAAATTTATTTAAACGGATCTCACCCGAACACGACCTGTTTATTAAGCGTGTTTGGCGGGTCAACCCGTTTACCATCCAAACTTGTTAAGGTTTCACCCAAATCCACTTAATTCGTGTCGGTTAATCGCGTCGTGTCGGACTTTGACAGGCCTAGTGATAACACCACCACCACTAGTGCAACTGCTTCCAAACCTATTTAAAGACACTATGGATATTTGGGTGTCAATCCTATTCCTATCCAGACACTCTGCTGTTAGATGTTGATCCTGGATATGATTTTTTGCAACATTTACTTATATTGGGAAAAAAGAAAATTCATTTCATACTTGTAGATCAACATGAATTTCTACCTAAATCATTTTGCATTTTAGGTCTACTAGTGTTGTCTTTAAGATTTGGCACTGCTGCAGAATTTGGTTTCCTTGCCTTCTGTCCTATCAGTTTTTTATTCAGATCCTATCATCATTGTGGTTATCAGGTCAGGGTGAATACTGTGCTGGGATCTACTGCACCTCCTCTTTCTGTAAAACTCATGCAAGTTTTCAGCTCCGGTTCAACGGATGCTGCCATCATTGATCAGGTGCTGCATGGCTTTTTTTTTTTTACCCATGGGCGGCATTATTTTCTGATATGTAGTTGGCATGATACGTTGTGCTGGCTCTTTTATTTATTAGTTGATGTAGACTTGCGTTGCACGTAAACCAATTTGAGTATGTTATATAATATATTAATCTTGTGGACTACTATTCCTGAAATTCACGACCCAAGTAATTTTTTTTTTTTTGGGTAAGTTGGACTAAGTAAACATTGACTGATTAATCAGCTTTGTATCTCATATCAATAGCTAACCAACTCTTGTGAGTCCTTTCAAATCTAAAAAGCATGCTTTTTGTAGTTTCTTTATATTTTCCATACACTAGTATGAGGTTGACTTTGAGAATTTCCTGTAGAACTATTTATTTTTTATTGCCAAATAATTCGCACATGCCCTCCATCAAACAAAATGTAATCTTAGGAAGTCAATTAAGATTCTGAATAGGAGGCAACAGGTTTTGTGTTTTCTTTTTTGCTCTTCTTGGCCTTGTGTTCTAAGAAAATTATATCCACACTAGACTGTAAATATTCGTCTTTATTATAGTCTTTTACTTATCAATGGACCTTTGGTCCAATGATACTCTTTGTCTTGTAAAGATTTTGCCTTCTTGAGGTCAAGGGTTCAAACCCCTTTCCACCCTCCCCCTCCCCCTCAAAAAAAAAAAAAAAATTATTATAGTCCTGTACTCTATTATCTTCCTCATGTAGCTTACCAACTCCAATGGAGCGAATGAGTGTTTTCTCTTGAATTGTTTAAATTAACCAATTAAAGGCATAAACACAATGCATAAGGTATCGTACATCATTAGCATACTGTTGTTTCTCTGAAGGGATCACATTAAAAAGACTTGAGTTCTGTCTTGCAATCCTTTCTTGTAACTTTTAGTGCAAGTAAAATGGCCACCTTTTGTCATCTTGCAATCTAATCGTAATTCCTCTTTGTAAAAAAAAATTTTTTGTCATACAAAATTTCTTCTTCACTATATTAAAGTAGAGGTTACATAAAGGGTGGAACTAGAGATTATTCATAGTGGGGCCAACCTAGAACTAATTGAAACTTGAAATTATAGCATTAACATTACTTTTTTCAATATTATTTTTCTTTTAGTAAATTATCCATAACTAATTCAAAATTAATGTGTTTGGTTTGACTCAAACTCGATAATTTTTTTCTTTTTGAACACAAACACAATAATTTATCATTGAGTTTTTGACAAACAACTTATTAGGACTAGAAGTATTCATTTAATAGAACAAACTTAATTGAAATAATTTCAAAAAAAATCTATTTATCACAAGTTTATTAAAATTTAGATATAAGAATACTTTGATTGATCACAACAAATTGTTAAAGCCAAATTGATCTAAATAATTTAATAAAAAATATAATTCATAAGAGTAATACTATTTGAACCTAAAAATCTGACCTAATTTGCTAACAGAATGATGTAGCTTCAAGAGAACCATTAGATCAACACCAAGTTTCAATGTTTGATGGGTCCCACAATCAATCCAAAGATCATAGTGAATTAGGTCAATAAATTAGGTCCTAATAGCATTGCTCAATTCATAATAGACAGATTCCAATATATAGTACAATTAAATTAAAAAAATTATTTGAATCTTAATTTATAATTGTTGCATTCTAATTTCAAATAATTTTTGAGAGGGATAGTTGAGAATATAAAATGTGATAAACTGTGTATTCAACTTTTTATTGCATACTTAATATATTGAAATGATTCAACTTATGATTTGTAACCGATTGCAACTCAATTTATTCTTAGAATTCAAATGTCTTAACACTTTATGTATCAGTGGTCTTTTCAATTTTCTGTTAGAGGAGTTATCATGATAACTTTATAAGGATAATATAGACATTATTCATTTTATTAAGGCTGTTATTGTTAATAAAAAATTTTCCAATTTTGTTGACATTTTATAGTAGTAGTATAGATATAGATATAGATGTGCTACTTTGACTATTTTATTGTAATTTTCTTTACAACATATTGCCTTTGTCATTTACATGATGCAGGAACTCAAGTTTGACGCTGAAAATGCTGTCCATTTCTTGGATACTTTGCCTGAGAGTATCGATGTTGGGAATTATGTTTTCGTGTTTGAGGTAATACTCTCTCTCTCTCTCGACACACACTCAAAAACACGCACAAAGCTGGTCTTCATATTTGCTACATCACCGTTATGAACTTATGATAATTCCTTTGTTCTTTTGTTTGGTAGATTGTGCTTCGTGATCCAGAGCATAAGAAAATTTATGCTACTGGTGGCCGGACAAGAGTACCAATATATGTCACAGGAATTATCAAAGTTGGTAGTGCAGAGATCGCAGTACTTGACAGTGATCTTGGGAGCATAGAAACTCAGAAAAAGTATGTCATTTAAATTTTTTCAAACTTGGATCTTTATTTCTTTTCCACTGCATTATGCTATGATAAATGAGCACCAATAATTATTTTAATGCCAGGACTTTGCATACTTGTTGCTTATCAACATGAAGCTTGTGCACACTTGGCCAACACCAATTTAAGTGCATCAAATACTGTCCTCTAGAATCACTTCTGAAATGTGTAGATCATGATCCTATAGCTCATCACATATAAAGCCACTATGATATTTTCTGCTTTTCACACCCTTTTGATAATTATATACTGCACTGATGCAGTTTTTATTTTCTGCTTGTTCTTCTTTCTTGATGGACTACTCGTCCCTCTTGTATTTTTTCTGGTTTTGAAAAATGATCTGTTGTTGCTGATTAAAAAAATACTGCTCTGATGGCAGTATTTAACCATGTCCATGTTATTAGGGCTTAGGGGTGCACGTTGAGCAGGCTGCCCTGCCACTATAGTTCTGCCTAACTCAAACCAAAACCAAAGTAAAAAGTATGGCTTGCAATTTGGATAGCCTAAACTTGATGTAATATATAGCATACAAAATATATTTCTGTGTCTTGGCATCAGGTGGTCCCTGATTCTTGTACCTTTTTTGTTTTTCTGAGTTTTTCAAGGTATGCTTAAATTGGAATTAAGGGAAGTTCATAAGTAGAACTTTGTCATCTAAATGACATGGGAGCACAATTTAACATGTTGTAAGTTAGACAAGTATGACAATTTATGCAGCTGCATTGTCTTCTTTGAAGTGAATAAAAGAAACATCCATCTTTTTATTATATCAGAAAGTTTCTTCTGCACCTTATTACTTGAGCAACGGGATGTAGTAGTGTCAAATGTCAAAGATCATCTTTTGAATAGCCTAATATTAAATCTTAGATTTCAATCAGTTATTCATGCTGGTTGGTGATGTTATTCGTTATTATTGAAATGAACTGTGACAATATGATATCTGCATGAACCAAGGGTGTCTTGTTCATGCTCAATGGTGTTATTCGCCATTTATTCATGCTTAATCCTGGGGTACTTATTGATGCTCAATGGTTGTGTTTTTCAGGCTAGATTTACCCGGAGAAAATGCTATTGCTTTATCAGCTAACCACCTGCAGAAGCTTCGTTTATCCTTTCAATTGACCACTCCTCTTGGGCATGCTTTTAAGCCACACCAGGTATTTAATCAGTTTTCTGTTTGCCTCTTGAATGATACTCATTACTAAATTGGTGAAAAACTCTGTTGACTGCAGGCATTCCTTAAGCTGAGACATGAGACCAAAATTGAGCATATCTTTGTGGTGGGAAACTCTGGAAAGCAGTTTGAGATAGTATTAGTTAAGTCCTTTGATCTGAATATGTACTGGTTCCCTTTCATGTTCTTTTAATTGAACTTGCAGAGGCATGTTAAAATCTATCGAGGTCGATAATTATACCACGCCATAGACACATGCATCTATTAACAAAGGACACTAACATTGTCATGCATCCATGATCCAACATAGTGACTTCAGAAACTAATTTAAGTATGGATTCAATGAAAATAATTATGCAACTGGCTGTGGCTTTATAAAATTGTGTTTTTGGTTTCAGATGCTGAACGTAAATGGCATTTTGTCTTGTAGGATTTTCTCAGACTGGTCGAGAAATTTTTCTATCTTTCTGGCAGATATGAAATTGAACTTGCATTGGGTGACACTGTCATGGTAACATGGCCTTCTCTTAATTTTTGATGTATGCATGCCATGGCTCAGATCTTGAGCATCATATTATTCTATTTCTTTCAGGAAAATTCTTTCTTAGAACATCTGGGACATGTTGAATTAGATCTGCCAGAACCATCTGAGAAGGCAGCCCGTCCTCCTCTGCAGCCTGTTGATCCTTACTTGAGATATGGGCCCAAAGCAGAGATAGTACACATCTTCAGGGTTCCAGATAAGCGTCCTCCACAAGAGCTTTCTCTTGCGTTCTTAGGCTTTATTCTCTTGCCTTTGATTGGATTCTTGTTTGGGGTGAGTGTTCAAATCATAAAATCTCATGTACTCTAAAGTTTACAGTTTCTGAAAATCTGATTACAAGGATTAGAGAAAAAAGAGCAGAGCATATGCATTTTGCCTGTTGAATTGGCTGAATCAAGCTGTTTTGCAGTTCCCTGAGTCTCTAAAGTGGGTTTCTACATTTTGGAGTTATTGTGTCCATCAATGTGGACCGAACAATTTAAACTTCCCTTCTACCTCTTTGGCCATTGGTATTTATTTGCACCCTTCTGTGTGTTTGGCAGCTATTACGTCTTGGTGTGAATCTGAAGAACTTCCCTACATCAACAGTACCTGCTACATTTGCCATCCTCTTCCACTTTGGCATTGCAGCTGTTCTATCACTCTATGTGCTTTTCTGGTTGAAGGTGTGTTTTTACCTTGCACTTTCTTGCACACATGCTGGACCTTTACTGCCTTCGAGTAGACTTGATATTCACTTAATAGGCGATATTCCCAATTTTTATTAGGGGAGGTATTTTTCGATGAGAAAAAAACAGGATGCTCATACTTCATTCCCCTTAAAGCATTAACAAGTGAGAATGAATTTGGTGTAAATACAAACGTTTTTTTTGGGGTTAAAAACATTACATTACATTGGGCTTGGGATTATTATGAGGAATCTGAGATTAAAGGTTATATGTACCAAAAGTAGGTATGCAATTTCAACTGAAGAGATTTTACAGTCAAAGCCTGCTTATTTTAAAGGCACCGCCTTCGCGTCCAGGGTGCATGTTTTCTTTTGGTGTGGGGACAGGGAGAGGTTGCAGGGCGAGGAAAGGAAGAGCATTATCGTGCCAGATTATCATTACTGCCAACGCCGCCTTTGGGCTGACACCACCATTGACCTGATGTCATTTGTTTATTCCCATCGCAGCCAACCTCCATTGCAACTATGCCTACACATTTTCAACATTTCACCGCTGCATTGCTGCTGTATCCATGGTCCCTACTATACTTCCATTCTCACATCACCACTGTTGATGCCCATCACTCCTGCTACCGCCACAAGAACCCGGTTGGTCACACCAACATTTCGAGACACCATTTCTGCCATGGCCATCACCACACTAAACTAATCCTGCCACCATTATAATACTGCTCGCAACACTAGTAGCCATTGTCTTTTTCAAGTTACAGTCACTAGCCACACTTTCAAGATCCCATACCAGCCATGTTTCCTCCATCAGTCCACACTCTGAATTTATAACCATACATGATTGAAATTTCAGTTTATTTTTTATTTTTCATGACCAAATCACTCTAAACAATTTCCTTTAACTACCTGGTAATTTATGTTATTATTGACTTCCAAATTGATTTCTCAGGAAATTCATACTATCATTTTGATTGTTGTCTGTATTTGTTATTTCTCCGCATGCAGTTGGATCTATTTACAACTCTAAAAGCTCTTGGAGTCTTGGGAGTCTTCTTGATGTTTGTGGGACACAGGACCCTTTCCCACCTCGCCTCGACATCAGCCAAGTTGAAATCTTCCTGAGAAAGTGGGGAAAAGTTCTATTTAAGTGCAACTTTGCAATGAGAAAGTAGGTTTTCTTAGTGGTTGGACATTTGGATTCAATTTTGTTGTAGGACACATTCAGTATTTTTATGTTACTGTTCTCTCAGAATTTTACACATGCTATCATATTGAAAAGAGACGAGCTAATACTATCTCAACCTGTCTGAAGTCGTTCCTCCGTGATCAAGATAGCGGGGGCTGGTCGCCGGTTAACCCATGATGCAGACAGTCGACTCATCTGCTCTCCTTTAATGTCCTTCTGGCTGGCTGCCGACTTGAGCCTTCGTCTTGGATTTGGATTTGGACTTTTTCAGTTTATGTTTTCTCAAATTTCTTTGATAGTAAATCACTTAACATGAATTCAAGAGGGATTTATTTATATACATGTTTTTATAAATGGGTCTCTATTAATGTATGTATGGCGTACCCAGATTTTTTAGATGATGGTTTAGTTTATAATAAGCCTTGGCAAAACCCTATGACAAGTATTTCCTTGGCTAGAATTTGTTCCTAAAATGCTTAAACTTTATAGATACTGCAGTTATCTCATGTATATTAAACCATGATTAGTATCTTATTTATACAATGGTTGGAGTCAAGAAAAGTGTATGGGGTACCCAAAGAAAAATTTCGGCAACCCAATATATATATCTTATTAGCTCATTTACAAACAATGGTTGTAAGTGAGCCCAAAAAATCCAGCCATTGCATAAATAAGATTCTACAATTGTAAGGATTGACTCTAACAATTTTAGAATTGATCTCAAGTATCTAAAAAAATGTTTACTTGATTCTACAAAGATTTAGGGTAAAATCTAGTTTACTCCCTTGTAGTGTAGGTGTTTTGTGCTTCACCTCCCTATGGCTAAAAAATGAGCACATAACCTTTTTGGGTTTTGGACTAATGTGCACAACTAACACCGTTAACAAAAGTGAGTTAGTTACCTTAATACCCTCACTATTTTCTTCCTTCAATTGCGTCTAAAATAAGAGTCTAGAGCTATGTTGTGAGTCTGGAAAACTTTGGAACACCAAATAATTTTAAGTCAATAAAAAAATTAGCCACCCAAAATATGATCAATTAGAACGCTAGAACGCTAAAAGGGAAGCCTATCTGAGAAACAACTGCATGTAGGGGAGGAGGGAGGGAGGTGGAGCCACATGTGTTTGGGAGATGGGAGAGGGAGGGGAACCGTTAGTGAGTGGGGAACAGGGTGGAGTCGTCGGTGATGAAGAGGGGGAAGAGAGAGAAAGATTTACAGAGTTAAGTGAGAGAAATAAGAGGTTCAGAGTTGTGATTTCATAAAGTTTTATTGTTAAGCAAGAGAAAATTTATGTAAAGAAGGTACTGTATTTTTGTGTTTTCATTTAGTGTGTAAGAACATATTTGTCTTTTTGAGCCTAAATTTGATGTTGACTAAGATTTCAACATACCAACTTGTGAAATAGGTCCATGTGTTGTACTTGTCGTCACTTTCGACGGAATTATTAGTGGTAGCAATTTAGTCAAAAACTATAAAAGAGTTATGCGCAAGTTTTTGAACTACAGGGAGGTGAAGCGCAAAAGCTCAAACCACGAGGTAATAAACTGAATTTTACCTAAAGATTTAACTTAAACTTTAAAAGTTCTTGGTCTAATTCTATGCCTTGCGACGATAAGGGAGTCGGCGTGGCGCAAAATGAAAATTGGGAAAGTTGAGCAAAATTCTCTTTTGGGGTATTCTGAGGGGTATGATGACTCAAAAAATTATAAGTTTGTAGGATTGACCCTAGCAGTTTAGATTTTTTTTTTTTTTTTTGGTGGGGGGAGAGAAAGGGGAAGAGAGACTTGAAACATTAATCTTAAAAAGACAAAAAGTCTTTATAAAGTAAAGAGTACCACTGAACCAAATGTCATTTGGTTAGCATTTTAGATCGATCCCAATTTTTGTTGCTGTTATTATAGTTGTAAANCAGTACCACCGAACCAAATGTACGTTGGTTAGCATTTTAGATCGATCCCAATTTTTGTTGCTGTTATTATAGTTGTAAACAAATTTCAAAAACTTGTATTATCGCATAGGGTTCAATCCACTAGAGTAAAATAGTTTGTTTTTTTGTTTTAGTGGTACTATGGTGACTGTCTTTATGGGTTAATAGTTATAATTCAAATCAAATAATTCACAATTCAAGAACCCTCAAGGTTACACTCAAGGAGGTTACTATCTACTGGTCACCCCCTCCCTCTCCCTTTTAACTAGCAAAAAAAATGAAATTGTGACCTGATTTAGAGAAAGGTACAAAAGCAAAAATTTTGGTTAAAATTCATTTTAAGGTCCTCTTTATATATTTTGTTCAATTTTTGTGAAATGCACGGTTGGAATTGGTGTATAAATTAAATTGAGATGCTCATTTCCAGTGTAATTAAGGCAGTAAATGTGCATGGTATATTAATTGCAGCCAAGCAGGAGCCTACTTAGGACAACTCATGAACTACTATTTATCCTTGTCAATGCACACAAAACTTCCAAAATTTGAATTCCTGACATGGATGGCTACACTTAGATATTTCAGACCAATTTGCCCATTAAAATCCAAATTGTCACCCCAAAGAGATAATGTGTTCTTCAGTCATCTATGGTATAGTCTTGTATACCATTTTGAGTTTTCCAACGTACACAAATGCATAAACCTCGTATTTGCGTACACATTAATTCCACAAAATTAAGTTAAGATGCCATAGCAACAAGCATTTAATCCCCTCCTCTCTCTCTCTCTCTCTCTCTCTCTCTCTCTCTCTCTCTCTCTTACATATTTTTAGCCAATGTGTGATGAATGATTGTGTAGTACCTTAGAATACTCATCCATATACTAGCATTGGTGAAAAAACTCATAGGGCCCGAATGATTTCATCACATTCCTTAAAACCCTTGTCTGCTGCAACAAAACCCAAATCCACAAAACACAGTCATGGTCTTCGCAAACCATGTAACGATCGACATTTGAAGGTGGACGGCCGGGACCGTCGAATCAGACTCCCTCTTGGATGTGCTGAAAGTGTCTTTGAGCTCACAAAAAGGCTTGGCCATCGCACCTCAGGCCAAACTATACAGTGGCTTCTGACCCAGGCTCAACCTGCCGTCGATGCTGTCTTAGCTTCTTCTTCTTCCTCTTCTCCACCAATTCTGCAATGTTCTGTCAAGTCTCAACCTTCTAATTATGAGGTCAATGCTGTGACAGTTTTTCCAGAAACTCAACCTTCTGCTTCTATGGTGTCTCCCACAATTTATGAGGCCAAATCTGTACCAGTTCTTCCCAAAAATGTAGCTACGAACCCGCCCGGTGCAGTTCCAAGGTCCAGACCATTGTTGCCACCCTTTAAGTATGGTTTGGAGAGCTTTGGAACTGAGTTTTCAGCTGAAGAAATTGCAGCCATGTTCTTCTCATCCTCATTGGAGTCACTTTCTGACTAAGCTAGCAAGAAAAAAAATGAAGGAAAAGGTGGGAGGAAATGGAAGAAAATTGGGTTAAGTACTTATCTTGTTTAAAAAAATTATGAACTGTGAATGTTTCGTTTTGATTGCATTGCTATTGTATTGGAGTTGTATCTACTGTGGCTTCTTAACAATTTATGTCATCATCTGCAACTTTGTTGGAGTGATGAAAGTTTTGGGGTCACTTGTAGAAAATGGAAGAAAAAAGTGGCATCTTCTTGATATGAATCAGATTGTTTTTTAACTAGTTTCTTTTTTCTTGGGTATTAATGCTCGAATTTATGTTTTTAAGAGCAAATGAATTTAATCCTATGAACCTTCAAATCCCTATTTGAACATATTTGAATTTATCAGTTTGAATTTTTCCTAAAAAACATTGCATTGAATTTACTCCAATCTTGACAATTGAATATGAATAGGCTATTATGAGTTTGACCAAGCCGCTGTGGTGAAATCGGTAAACATGCTGCTCTTAGGAAACAATGCTAAAGCATCTCGGTTTGTGTCCGAGTAGCGGCATACCATCTTCTCCATATAGTTTTTGGGATATACTCAAAATGCAAACTTTTGTTTTATTGTCAAATTTAATTACTCTAGGGATAAGATTAGAGATAGGGTCTTGCAAGTGGTTTATTTTTTTTGTTTTGGGCAAATTAGAATTTGAATTGGTTTCAGGTCGTCCCAAAAGTTAACCCTCATGGTGTTTTAATCGAAGAATGTTACATGTTTAGTAAATGTATACAAGTTTTCAAGGTCTAAATTTGGGGCAAAGTGAAGAGTAAGTAACCATAATTAGATGTACAACATGAAAAATGTTATAATTGAGAGGAAATGTGGGACTAATAACCATACTTTAAGGTGTAGCATGAAAAAAGTGATAATTAAGAGAGTAATTGGACATAAGATGCAAAATTGACGGGATCNATGTGGGACTAATAACCATACTTTAAGGTGTAGCATGAAAAAAGTGATAATTAAGAGAGTAATTGGACATAAGATGCAAAATTGACGGGATCGAAGCGTAATTTACTCTCTTGCTAAGTCCAGTGGGCAACACCGTCTGGGTTGGGTTTGCGAGGGTTTAGTAAAACCAATCTAACATCCAAACTAGCCTTATAATATTGGTTTCAGACCACCCACCTCAAAATTTTGAGGGAGACAAATAGATTAAAGGCCAATTTTAAATTGAAGTAACTATTAGAGTTACTTCTAAATGGGTTAATAGAAATAGTTTTTGGATTAGATTGTTAACATCTGAATCAAATAGATTGTTAATTGGTAATTAATTAATGTTTTGTTTGGTATGATAAAAAAATAAAAATGTGAAAAATCGAAAGATTGAAAAGTTAAAAGGACAGATAAAATATAATGTTTTGTAAGCAAATAAAATATATAAGGATGAAAAAATAGATGAATTAATCTTTTTTCCTACTAACAAAAACTTTTCCCTTCCAAATTATGAGAAAAATTGGATAAAAAGTTAATTGTGTACTGAAATATTTATTGTTTAACTTTATATTTTATTTATCTGTTACATATAATGTACATATTAATTTCACATATAGATACAATGGTAAAATATGTATTGATATTTTTTTTTCCATCTTTTCTCTTTTCCCTCTATATACTATACTACTTATAAAAGTGGCTAACAATGAAAAACTTTTGATTTCCTCTTTTACCCTCAATTAATATAATAAAGTTCATTATATTCTTCATACCCTTTTAACTTCTTAAATTAAATACATAAATCTATCATATTTCATGATCTTCTAAAATTAATTACATTCACAAACAATGGCTAACAACGAAAAACTTTTGATTTCCTCCTTTACTCTCAATTAATATAATAAAATTCATTATATCCTTCATACCCTTTTAACTTCTTAAATTAAATACATAAATCTATCATATTTTATGATCTTCTAAAATTAATTACATTCACAAACATATATATATGTACTACTTATAACCCTAATTAATTTTAACCCTATTTAATTTTTTACTACCAATCATGTCCTATTGCATCATTTAACCTCCCTTCAATATTATATTATCTATCTAACTATCTTTCTCAATACTTTAACAAAACTTTTGATTGACAATAATGTTCTTGAAACATACTAACAATCAAATAATATTTTTTTGTTGTGATTTTTCACTGGCTAGAAATCTCTTTTGCGAGTTACTATCAATTAAAGAAACATAACTCTTATAGAACCCTTGGAGTTCCATAACCCCCCAAACATGGAATGGTGAGAAGTTGATTGGCTTGCCACACTTATAAATCGATTTTCGTAAAGCATATCTATATATTATTTATAGATTTCAGCTAACGCATCACCATGATGGAGCCCAAGCCAAAGGTTTTTCCTCTCCATTTGCGGCGACTAACCAAACCAAATATTTTCTAATTCCTTTTGTTTTGTCATCTTTATCATTATGTATTGATGCAATATTTATGTTATGACACTATCTTTATTCCAAATTATCACAAATTTTCTCTCGGTATCATATTATATCTTTTAATTGGCTAACCATCATAGTTTAAGTTCTTCATAAATGTGAGCACTTTGTTTTTCAAGATTTCAACTAAAAAATTGAAATCATCATTTGTATATTGTGGGTGATATTTAATTAATTGTATGTGTATGTTTTAAGGCTTCCCATCAGGTGACTAAAATGAAAATACAAGTTTTATAAATCGTTTGTTCTCTATGGTATTGCAAAGTAATTCTCAAGTCTATTTAAATACTTGAAATAGTTATGTTTCTTGAAAAAAGCAAAAGCAAATAATAAAACTCCTATCAATATATTTTCATGGATGGAACAAAAATACTGCTAACAGGTTGTAAGTTGAGTAGTTCTATTTATTTAATTTTGTACCTGAATTAACCAAGTTAGAATTGACATGTGAATTTAGAATTAAAAATTATTGTTGTTTTTTTTATGAAATTTTCCAACATATATCTTAGAAATCACTCGATCTAAAAGTGCATCTTGGTATCTTAAGCACCATTGAGTTTTGCTTTGTGTATTTTTCGTTGTTTGGGCTTTGTGTATTTAGATCTATTTATTAGAAAGTTGTTGTTTTTTTTGGCAATTTACATAAGAAAAATCAATAGACATAATTATTGACATATTTGTTATCAACAGGGTAAGAGTTTAATGGCGAATTTCATTGTTGATCAATATAGTTCAATTTAGAGAAACTAAAAACCAAAATTGTAACTTAAAATTATTAGCGTGCAACACACGCGTACATTAANGTTGATCAATATAGTTCAATTTAGAGAAACTAAAAACCAAAATTGTAACTTAAAATTATTAGCGTGCAACACACGCGTACATTAACTAGTCTTATTAAATACAAAAAAAAAATCATCTTCCTACTTTCCATCGCTTCGACCAAAAATAAATACAAAGAAACGAAAGATTCTTTCTTTAAATAATAGGGAATGTATAACTCTTATTTTCTATTATTTTATTTTTCATTCACCCTCCTAAATGCACCATAAAAAAAGGTAGAGACATTCTATTTCATTATCTACTTCACGACTCACAAACTTATATCAGTTAAGAATAATATCTATATGATAAAACACATAATCGATCTTTATACAAAGCAGAACAGCGGTCTAAATTATTTAAATTTGATGACTCATATTATAACTTAAATTTTAATTTTTTAATTATAGTAACTCAAAAGATTTATATTTAAACTTTTAACCACGATTAAAAAAAAAAGTGTTTTAGACAGGACACCCTAATAAACTAAATATCCCATGATGACCCTATTAATATAATATTCAAATGTCCAGCTAAAGCAATTCATGCGCTTTCTTTTTCTCCAAAAATTATTGAGAAAGCACTAGCATTTACACCAGTAAAAGTAATAAGCCCAAAGAAGATGATATAGATGATAGAGGCTACTAGGCCTAGAATTCATACAACATTTTCATTAACCTCACCAAATATATATATCTTGAAGGTTCCAGATAAAGTTGACAATGGAGTCCCTTTCAATCAAGTAATTTTTAAATTTATGACTAATTATAATTTGTTCCATCTAATTATGTCTTTTGTTGTAATCAGTCCTCTATAGTTTCAAATGTTGCTGTATGTATCCTCAAAATTTTAAACGGACTAAATCGATTGACAGCAGTAACAGAGAAATTTAAAAATTAAAAAACATTACATATTATACTGTATTTCAAAATCGTTAATCGATATTGATAAATTTGATTGCCCTGTCTTAAGAGTAACACAAATGAATTCATAATATTCAAAATTAGTATTGCAACCAATTTTAATCATTGTTGAACTTTAATAAACTGAAAATGCAACTTCCGTGGTACTCCGTTCGTTCTTAAATATCTGTCATTTTACCCAATTTTTTTTANTCCGTTCGTTCTTAAATATCTGTCATTTTACCCAATTTTTTTTATTCTACAATATCTGTCGTTTTATGAAACCAAAACATAATTAATATTTTTTCTTCCAAATTTACTCTTATTTCTATTTTCCAATTAGTGCTTAATAGATTAAGTGTAGGCTAAGTGTCTTTCATATTCCTTTCTTTCCCAATACGTATTGAATAAGAGTATTTTAGTTCTGTGCAATTATTTTTTACTCATACTAGAGCTATTTAATAACTTCCTTAATTCTTGTGCAAAAACCTTAAACGACAGATATTTAGGAACGGAATGAGTATTAGATAAATAGAAGGGTCAAATTATAATACTTTTGATATATTGAATGTACAATATAAAAATTTTAATCTTTAAGAATATAAAATGAGAATCTTGAAATTTTTCATGGTACAAAGTGCGAAAAGCCTTAATATCTTATTATTTTTCAATTAAACTAACTAAAATAGATTAGGCATTAATAAGTCTATCCGATGATCTTAAATAGATTTACATTACACCGTAACTTCAAACACGGGTTACTTCTAATTTTTCATAAACTAAAAAGATCCACTAAGTTTATATAATTTTGAAAGCAAATAAAAAAAAATCATATTCAAATTATGTCAAGCTCTATCGAAAACTTCTGCTCAAAAAAAAAAATGTATCAAAAACTAAAAAATAATCAATTTATCAATTTTACTATATCTGATTCATGTTATTTATGGCATACAATACGTGTATGCATCATGATAACATAACATCCCATTACCATCACACGCTTACATGACAGCTCACCATTCATTCCCTCGCACAACCACCCCCCTCTGTCCCTCTATAAATATATCTTCAGTCCTCTGTTTCGGCTCCTTGATTGACTCCAACTTAGAGACTCACAATGGGGAAGGTAAGTAAAACCTAATCTCCATCTCTGTCAGCAGTCTCTCTCTCTCTCTCTCTCTCTCTCATAGTTTTCCTGTTTTGTTTGGTTGCAGAAGAAGAGCAAGAATGAGCAGAAGCAGAGCAAGAACGAGAATAAAGACGACGGAGGAAAGAAGGAAGCCAAACAGAGTATGACTGTTGTTCTGAAGGTCGATTTGCATTGTGAGGGCTGCGCCTCCAAGGTCATGAGATCCATTCGTGGTTTTGAAGGTATATATTAATACGTAAATTTGCCGGAATTTCGTACTCTGTTTTCTGAATCTTAACTTGTTTCTTTGATATTCTTCTTAATTTCTTTCTATACTGTCAGATTTTCTTTCTCTGCTCTGTTTTTCTGCTTTTTTTTTCTCACTATTTTCTCCCGGTATTTTATCAGATCAGCCACTGGTCAACAATTTGTTCTGTTCACTCTCTGCTTTCTATTTTGGCTGATTTTTATAATTGCCAGATATAATTTAGGGTTTTAGTTTCCTGCTATGTCGTGATTCAACAGAATGATTTGTGCCTATATTTCTGATTTATGTATTCGTGTGTACAAAGGTGTTGAATCGGTGAAGTGCGACGACGCCGACAAACTGACGGTGATCGGAAACGTAGATCCGGCGGAACTCCGAGAGACGGTTGAGCAGAAGATTCGTAAGAAGGTCCAACTGGTCTCTCCATTACCGAAGAAAGACAAGGACAAGGATAACAACAAAGGGAATGACGGTGGCGGAGATGACAATAAGAAGAAAGATACCAAAGAGAAGCAAAAGGAAAAGCCAGAAGAGAAGAAATCCAAGGAGGTACAGCTGTTACTCCATAACAAGCGCCTGTGTCGTATTGCTTATCTGCTTCCTCTTTGATTTGTTGCCGTTGTTTGCTTTTCACGTTGCGCATCTGGTGCACGTTGCCGTCAGATGCCATCCCATTCAATTCGTATTCAATTCCACTTTAGAATTTTGAACGTGCAGAGGCTGTAGGTTACCGTATTGACCGGTAGATCACGTGGATGCGTGTTTAGCAGTTTGTTTTAGCGCATTGTGTGCGAGTTAATGATTTTCAGTTTCAGATATTAGAAATCGAAACTTCATTCAAATTTATTACGGTTGCACAGAGCTAACCGTCAATTTTCTTGCCAGTCAAGTTATAAGCCAAACAGGCCATGTGACAGCGTATTTTAGCAAAATCAACTTAATCAAGTTTACTTAATGCTTTTGTTATAATTGTTCCAGCCTCCGGTGACGACGGCGGTGATGAAGTTGAACTTGCACTGTGAAGGATGCATCCATAAGATTCACAGAGTACTCAACAAGACCAAAGGTGTGTTTATCAAACGTCCCTCTTTTTTCCGTATACATACAGTTACTAAGCAGTGTTTTCTGAAGTATATAACACTAAACGGAGACTCGACGGCGTTTACAGGATTTCGTGAGGTGGCAATAGACCGTCAAAAGGATCTGGTAACGGTCAAAGGGTCAATGGACATGAAGGCTCTGGCTGAATCACTGAAGAAGCAGCTGAAGAAAGACGTTCAGATTGTTCCACCTAAGAAGGAAGGCGAGAAGAAGGAAAAAGGTGGCGGTGGAGGCGGTGGTGACAAGGAGAAGGGTGGCGGAGAGGGAAAAAGCAGGGGTGATGGTGCTGGAGATGCTGTTGAAAAGTTGGAGAACAAGTTTCAGTATCAATTTGAGCCCCAACCCCAATACCCATATGCATTTGGGCCAGGTCATGGGGATCACTTCCATGCACCGCAGATGTTCAGTGACGAGAATCCAAATGCTTGCACCATCATGTGAAAGATGGGTTTGGGGGGCTAAGAAGCTTATTTCTGGAATTATAGTTAATAGGTGAAAGAGAAATGTAAATACGCCTCCAATTTCTAGATGGTCAAGGCTCAAAATTCAAAGTCATGGATTTATTTTCTACTAAATTTTGGAATTACTATGAAGTATTCGGTCCATTAATAAGGTGTAGAACTATCCTGGCGATTTGATGATGTTATGAATAAGTATATACAAATAGTATTGCTCTAAAAATTTTGTTACTGAACTTTTTCTCATAACTGTGCTGCTCATCAAGTCTGGTGTCTCTGTTTCTTAACTTGATTCGGGTTTTGTTCCTTTGGGAATAATATAGTAGGAATGCCAATTTTGGTGCTTTGGCAACGGAAATTCTAACAATTTTCAAATGCCTGTGATAGTCATGGAGTGAAATGTTAAGTTGCTCTGGATCTTTTGAGCATTTCAGGAAAACCCCTCTTTTTAATATGTTATGTGTCTTTATCATTCGCAATACTTTCTTAGATCATTCACATTATCAACTCTATTTTTGAATTAATGGGTTCCTGGGGATTGAAAGTTGAAAAAATAAATTAATAAAGGAATTTCTTGATAAAAAACAAACTATTTGGGGATTGAAACCACATGTAAGTTGACAAAAAAAATTAATAAAGGAATTGTAGAGGACTCTACAATTGTTTATCTAAGCTGGTAAAAATAATTTTTTTTCTGAAAAGAAACAATATCCGTTTCATTAAACCGAGAGCATTACATTTTTATGAAAGAGAGACACCAGAAAAGAGGGAATTTCCTCCTTTCACAAAGTTGGAACATTACTATTTATGGCAAGTGAGTTCATGATGCTGAGAAGGAATCAAATTTAGTCTCACAGACATGAATTTGTTCCACAAAACAAATGTTAAAGAACATTATTGCTTGCAAACTCACTTGTACGAGCTTTTTAATTAGTTTTCAGAGGTCTTAAGTCTCCAATTTTGACACTACATGTGGAATAATTTTAGGTCAACAAAGTATGCTTGATCTTGTACACGTGAGTTTTCATGTTTTCCAAATGTCGACGTTTTACTTCTTTGTCTAATTTGACCACCCGAAAGATTAATATCGTGTAAAGTGGGTATCTATACTTTTATAGTAATTAATGTTTTTCAATTCCTTCCAACTTGATCTTGGTTTATTCATTGCGTATCAAACACAGGAAATTCATTTAAATAGGATGAATCTCACTTAAGAAATAACGTAGAATTAAGGAAATTAAACATAAATTATCACGAATTAGCACTCAAGGCAAGAGCAAATACTGCCAAAAGTTTGTGGAGAAACCAGGGTAGGAGGGGCCTATGCATGCAGCAGCCATATTCGGGTGAGGCATCGCATAATTTATTAAAAAAAAATTATATTTAGACCCTCTAAACTATTTCTTTATTTTACATTACCCCCTAAACTTTCGTTTTCACCATTTACAATTTAATGTTTGGTCTCAGTTTCATCACGTACCTATTGTTAATTTTTTTTTTTTTATGAAGTCACACAAGGTATAAAATACATAATTTTTAACTATTTTAACCAACAACTACAACTTTTTCCAAATTTTGTTTATGTTAAATCAGGAAAAAACGAAACTCTACCAAAAATAAGGATAGAAATTGATATCCTAAGATGTTGAAATTTTATTTGTCTTGATTTAGTTTGAAACATTCGACAAATGGGTAATGATTGGGACAAAATGAAATTTAAAATACAAGTTTGATGTTTGTGAAAAAACGAATAATTTAGGGGGGACAATGTGAAACAAATGACAAAAATTCATGGAATTTAAGTATAATTTATTATTTACCAAATTTATTTATTTTTATTAGAACTGGCTTTATTAAATTTATTGAGTTAGCCAGAATAGGGTGCATTTGTCGTATATTATATACGACAGACAAAGTGGAGGAGAGGGGAGCAGAAGAGGGGTTCGTGGACAGTCGTGTAGTCTAGGTGGGGTGTGTACGTGATACAGAGAAAGAGAGAGTTGTTGTCCTCTGTTTGGCAGGGTTCAGGGATGCTTCGCAGAACGTAGGTTGTTACTTGTTAGTGGGGAGGTGGGAGTGGGGGTATAAACCACCAGTACGCCTATCTACTTTTTCCGTGATTGTACCGAAATGCCCTCAGTTGGCCAATTTATTACACTAACGCCCTTCGCTTTGTATACTGCTGCGTTTTTTTCTTGCTTTTGGGTAATTGTGGAATTTAGATAACATTAAATATGCAAATTCATATTTTGGACATTGAGAGATTGTTTTCGTAATTAAAATTTTACCATGAACTAACATTGACCCTCTAATACCGATACTGATTGTTTCTATAGACCACAAAAGTTATAAAAATTATAAATTATTCACAAAAATTATAATGACATTATAATTATTTATTTTTTTTTATACCATAAACAACTTCTCGACGTAGACGGCAATTAAACAATCTTACCTAAAAATTTCAAGTACTTACCCCACATAGAGTACACAACCGGGACAAATATAAAGGATACACTCATCAGATGAGAAAAGAATCCTCTTGTGGTCCTTGAAACTTTTCATGGTGACGATGATGAGCCAATTGAACTGAGGCTTCGTGACACGGGGTTTACTATTCTAGAATTCCATCATGATGAGGGGGGTATGTGCATCGTTATGGGGCATGTCTCATGAACCCATCTTCGCCCTTCTTTCCTCCTCAGCATGCACTCATTTGTTGTGTCAGTCTTTGTGAAAGATAAAGGAAACTTCCATAAAGATGGGCAAAAGTATATTTAGACAAACACAACAATAATGTCTCTCACCAGTGTTTTTTAGTATAATTAAACAAAACAATTAATGACACCCTTTTTTTCTTACTAGTTTTTTTTTTTTTTGGANAGGAAACTTCCATAAAGATGGGCAAAAGTATATTTAGACAAACACAACAATAATGTCGCTCACCAGTGTTTTTTAGTATAATTAAACAAAACAATTAATGACACCCTTTTTTTCTTACTAGTTTTTTTTTTTGGGTCACTATTTGAAATTTTTATGAGAGAGGGTATTCAATGAGCGGGTTGTGAAGTTATTAGGTCATCGCCGATCTTTTGAATTTTTCCGGTACGAATAAAAATAGATCATCTATATTAAAATTAGAATAATTATGAGGAGATAATTATCTTATGGTTTGGCCCCAATAAGTTATCAAGATTTGAATTCAGAACTTGTGAGTTTAAAATTCGTCCTTATTACCTCTAAAACTACCATTTGGATTCTGCTTTTTTTTAATAATGAGNGGTTGTGAAGTTATTAGGTCATCGCCGATCTTTTGAATTTTTCCGGTACGAATAAAAGTAGATCATCCATATTGAAATTAGAATATTTATGAGGAAATAAATATCTTATGGTTTGGCCCCAATAAGTTATCAAGATTTGAACTCAGAACTTGTGAGTTTAAAATTCGTCCTTATTACCTCTAAAACTACCATTTGGATTCTACTTTTTTTTAATAGTGAGCCTTTTTTTTTCTCGTTAATGGAGTGTCAATCAAATTAATTTTACCTGTAAATTTTCTCACTAAAAGTCTAACGTAATTGTAAATGAGTTTGGAATACCTTAATTCTATCCAAATTCATAAGTGAATTTTAACCTAAATTAGTCACAATGAAAATGTTTGACAAACAATGCGACTAAATCGATTATCCTCAATCGTGCATTTATTAAGATCTCAAAGTTTACAAGAAAAACATGATTAATTATTGATGAAAAAGGTTTTTTGTGTCTGATTTAAAAACTTAATATATCGAGCAATTTGAATGCCCAACATAATCGATAACTCATCATCGATTCTTACCTCAAAAATCCCCTCTAATTTGAATTTAAATAATTTTGAATGCATTGAAAAGCAAATAATATAGTAATTTTTCAAGTANTGAAAATGTTTGACAAACAATGCGACTAAATCGATTATCCTCAATCGTGCATTTATTGAGATCTCAAAGTTTACAAGAAAAACATGATTAATTATTGATGAAAAAGGCTTTTTGTGTCTGATTTAAAAACTTAATATATCGAGCAATTTGAATGCCCAACATAATCGATAACTCATCATCGATTCTCACCTCAAAAATCCCCTCTAATTTGAATTTAAATAATTTTAAATGCATTGAAAAGCAAATAATATAGTAATTTTTCAAGTCTTTTTCTGTATTTGGTGAGTCAATGAGAAAGAACAATGAGTCGGTCATTGAGACAAACCCAAGAATATCCTACCGACCTCATCAACTTCACTCCAATCACTATCTTTAATCAATGTGAATGAAAGGAAAAAAAAGTAATTTTTAGTGAATAAAAAGGGTATGTGTGATTAGATTCCAAATCCATGTGATTGTGGGGCCTTTTTTTCAATTCTTCATGATTATTACATGACGCAACCCCCCCCCCCCCAATGTGGGGTTGAGAGAAGATTTGGAAACTGGGTTTGATGGATGATGCTTTGTTTTCTTGCATTTGACTTTTTTGTATATGGAGCTAATCACTTAACACTTGTTAAACTTTGTCGTGTTCATGAGGTAACTTCGCTTCACACTCCCAAATTCTAATGTATGCTTTTAGTGTGTGTTTCAAGAGTGGAACAGTGATTTTTTGGTGGGATCAATTTGTGAGCTAATCAATGGAGTTGAATGATTTAATAATGATGATTGAAATTTGGGGTAAAAAAAATGGGAATCTTGAAATTAAGAAAATTCTAACACAGAATATCCGTATGATTTGTACACGTATGTATGTACGTTCTGAACAATTCAATAAGTACACACACATTATTATTGTTGTTATTGATGATAGTAGTGGTCGTGGTCATGATCGTGGCGGAGGCTATGGTGGTGCAACGGAATTTGGCGGATAGGTAGTGTTTGGATTTTATAAAGTTAATGTTGCATAAAAATGAAGGTTGTGGAACGATTTTTTAAAAGGGAGGAAAAACATTTTCATTGGCGGTTAGAATAAGAGTCAAGTGGTATACAATCCTTCATTTTTTATTTTTTTTGTAATACTTAAAAAGGAAAAAATAAAACAAGTCTACATGCATAAGTAAAGTCACACAATGCTCCTCTTTTTGAGTTGGCATTCACAATGCTCCTCTTTTTGAGTTGGCATTCAAGAGCTCTACATGATCTAATGCTATGCAAATTCTATTTAATTTACTAGACCAATTTTATTGTACTAGACCAATTTTATTGTCTGCTATACTATTATTGTTAGATTAGCATTGGATGAAACCAATGTAAATCCAATAACTATAGTAAATTTTATCAATAAATTATATGTATGTCACACTTTTATAAATATTCTAATGGTTGATAGTCGAAATTTCGTGACAATTTAATAATTTATGTTGTGATTTTTATCGGATAAAATTTTTATATCTTCTTTTTTCAAAGTTCTGTTATACCTATCG